TGATGAACTATCCTGGAGCTCCTCCAAATGAAAAATCCTCCCTTGTTTACTCCCCCTTCCGATCTGTCTCCCCGTCTTCATGTCCTGTATAACACAACCAGTAGGACCAAATATAACAGAACAACCTTGCTCAGTAAGTTGTCCGACTGAAACCAAGTTTGGGACTAATGCAGGAACATGTAGAGTATGAGATAAATTTATATTTGATGACTCTACATTACCCACTCCTTTTACTGTCATCTTATCTCCATTGGCAACTGTCAACCCCGCATGATTAATAGGCCGAATATTATATAACGCATGTCTATCATGGGTCATATGATTGTAGCATCCAGAATCAATTAACCAAGGGTTACGTTTTGCTTTACCTTGAAGTGCCGAGAGTGCAGTGCTAAATGCAGTGGGAAGGGAGCTTTGTAATGCTGCGCCAGCCTGCACAAGCTGCTCCAGCTGGGCAGCCGTGGTATTTCCTCCTGGGCCACTCCCTGATGCGCTACCATTCACTTCCCCAACCACATTAGCTGGCTGATACCCTCGACCTTGAGTTCCACGACCATTTCCAGGTGGCGGGGCATTCCCAGACCAGCGTTCAGCATTCCTTTGTTGTGTACGACATTCTAGAACGATGTGACCCATTCTCTTACAGTATACACAGTAATTCCGTCGACGACAATGTTTCATCAAATGCCCTTTTTCATGACAATGGTGACACTCAAGTTCCGCATTAGGAACTCTGCTATTAAATTGAGGTCTAGTGACAGCCAAAACATGAGAATCTCGACCAGTACCTGATCGCGCTGGGATTGCAGAAGCCGCGACGATCGTTTCTCCTTCTCTTGGTCGCATATCGAACTGAGCCTGTGTCCTTAGTCGGGTTTCCTCGCGCACAAGGCTGCTAATTACTCCATCAAAGTTCAGCTGCTCACGATTAAGGATCGTGGACCGAACAGACTCGAATTCCGGCCTTAAACGCATGAGAAATTGCAAGACCCTGGTCTGTTGTCGTTCAGCTATCATGTCCGCCGTCAAGATGGCTTGTGGGCGAAGTGCTAAGTGCAACATATCCTCCTCTGTCCACATCTCTTGAGCAGCATTGAAATATTCCGTCACCGAGCGATCTCCTTGCTCCAAACGAGCAAGAGCTGTTTGTACTTCAAACTGCCGTGTCGCGTTCACCGTAGAGTAAAGCCCAGCAAGGTGTCTCCACATTCTATTAGCCGTGGGAAACAAACGGAGACTGAGACATGTTGACGGGTCGACCGATCTGAGAAGCCATGACCTGATCCGCGCATCGTTTTGATTCCAAGTTGCCTTCTCCTGTTCCGTGACATTATCCCGATTTGGTTGAGGAATCGTGCCATCCAAAATTCCTAGCAAACCTTTCCCTTCCACAAATACTCGAAACTGAAATTCCCAGAGTGCGTAGTTCGACGAAGTGAGACGCACAGTTGGCCCTTCTAACTCAGCCGCTGTCAGCTCTGATACCATGTTGACGAATACAGAAACAGATTGATGATAACGAATACGAGATCAAATGCAGACACCGATGTTTACGTGGTATCCCTGGATAACCAGGACTAATCCACGGAAGAGCTTGAACGCTCTTCAGGCTACTGATTTACTGAGATGTGATGAAAACAGTGTACATGATGATCCCCGTCGGCAGAACCCTCTTCACCTCTATATATCTATGATCGAAACCCCTAGGTTAGCTCCAGCACTCTCACGACTAACCTAGCTTATGCATGGGCTTGCATGACCATTACGTGTGGGCTTAATTATCAATGGGCCCCACGTATCATACATCATTAAATACACAAATCACCTACAGCTCACATAATCCGCAGCCCAAATATGATTATCATTCAACATTAATCATCACGACCAGGTGCTATAGTTTCAAGATCTGATCTCTGGACTTGGATTTGGAAATTACAATGATTCGAAGTTATCCCTGACCATCCAAATTTAAGGAATAAAGATTGCTCTTTGACCTTGGATTTGCACAGAATGTATCTAAATGTTTGTCATCAACTTAGAAGAAATTGCTCATGATAAAAGGGAGAAATTGCCAGGATGGTGACAATTATCTAGTAGCCACAATGACAAGTGAATATGGAAGGGAATAGATTCTTATCATGATCAAGATGATCAGGAATCTCGCTTTATACCTTCCTTGCCTTGCTCATCTTCTTTCTCCCCCGATGAAAGTTTTGCTTTTGTTGGCTTTTTTTTTGGACGATGTCAACGTTGAACTAACCATTTCCACTGGTTGGTATGAGATGGAATATTGGAATTCCATTTGTTTTACATTAGTGGGTCATTATAGACAAGTGAAAATGTGTACGAATGAGATATCCAGTAATAAGAAGAATGAAAAAGGTTGAATAGACGAACTACTGAATATCAAGCAATCTTAAATGTGTTGATATCAATAGTGACTAATTATTTCGATAGATTATAGTTTTTTTTTAATATTCAGTTCTATCCCACGGTATAAGAAACTCACTCATTTTCATCATTATCATCATTGCGAAAACTTTGATGTTCTACGATATCTTCTTCGATTAAAAATTTAAACCTCTAAGAATTTATAATTCATTTAATCAAACTTAAAACCTCATTTATTTGTTTAAAAAAGGGTTATAGGTATAATATGCCCATCTATTATGACGTTTTATCAAACATGCCCCTCTACTATTTTTTACATCAAACATGCCCCTGTACTGTGAAAAAATTATCAAGCATGCCCTTCTGTTAAACATTCCATTGAAAAAATCATCAATCATGGTTGAACCAAATGTCAGTTTTGTCTCCCGTTTTATTTCTCTGGGTCTCTTCAAAGTGAAATTATTTGAATTATTTGGCTATACAAAAGACCAAAAAAAAATTCTAAAGTGAAATTATTAGGGATATATTAGACATTTGTGTCACCCAAACCAAAGTTCGGCCTTTGTTAACAGATTTTGCATGGAAATTTTAACAAAAGGGCATGTTTGATAATTTTTTCAAAGTACAAAAACATTTTTGATATAAAAATTAGTTGAGGGGCATGTTTGATAAATTATCATAGTAGAATGGCATATTTCATGTATAACCTTTTAAAAAACACTCAAAATCTATAATCATAATATTGTGGGCTTCTTCCCTTTGCGATCTCCCAACAATCAAGCCCAAAGTTAAGCCCGTCTTTCTCAGGAGTCAAGCCCAGTCTGCTGTGGGAAAACGTCACCCTCTGCGTCCCTGCCACTTGTCTGTAAACAAACGCCAAAACAGTAACGAAAAGGAAGAAGAAAGGAATTTCTTCGAGCTATGGCTATGCCGTCCCAGTGGCATGCTACACCATCCAAGTCCATCCACTTAAAGCGAACAGTCTCGTCTTCACTGTCACTCTCACCTTAGTCCTATCCTTTCCTTCTTTCCATAATAAAAACGGGAAGAAAAATCACCCAGTTAGCGCCATTTCGGAATCAGGCAAAGGAAGAAGAAAAGGAGGGAAAGTAATTAAAAAAAAGGAGGGCTGAGGCAGAAACCGCAGATTGAAGAGGGAGATTAGAGGAGGGCAGTAAGAAGAAGCATCTCTGCCTTTTGGGTTTTCTGGAATATTTCCCTTTCATTTCTTCCTTTCTTCTCCCCTTTTTCTAAACTCGCATTCCTCGATCTCTACCTTTCCATCTCCTCTCTCTTTTATCAACTGCTCGGAGATTGCTGCTGCTCATTTCCGGCGATTCTGTCTCAACCCAGAGTAGGTCTTTTCATCACATCTGGAAATTCGCTTTTATATTCCTGATGGGTTCTGGTTTATGTTCTCTGCTCTCTGCATGCCCAGTTGCTGCTCTTCTTCGTCTGATTTTGAATTTAGGGTTTTATTTGTCGGCGCTGGTAATAAAACCTTGGTTTGAGCTTGATCTTTGTGTGAATATTTTACTGTGGATACTACGGTTGCCGATTTCTATGTTTCCAGTTTTGATTACTCTTGGTGTGACGGTTGGTTGATCTGATGGTCTGATTCTGGTATGTGGGTCTTTTTGTTTCTTTTGTATGGTGGTTTTCCCAGAGATTGAAGCGAAGTTGCTGTCCTTGTGATCATGGGGAAGGGTTCGAAGCCCAACTGCAAGTCGACCTCACACAGGCAGTTCAAGGACAGGGCAAAAACCCGAGTGGATGATCTTCAAGGGATCTTCGTTGATCTCCAGTTTGCTAGGAAAGAGAGCCGCAACATCGACGTGGCGGTTCTTGAAGAACAAGTCCATCAGATGCTCCGAGAATGGAAATCTGAGCTCAACGAGCCCTCTCCGGCAAGCTCTCTGCAACAAGTTAGGATCCTTTCCTTTTCTTACTTTAATTCTGAATTTCAAGTGAACATGTATATTTTATGCATGCATTGCATTTTGCTGTTGTGTCATGGCAAATTTTTGTGTGCATATCATCAGGTTGTGACGACCATGGATGGTGTGGTGTTATTATTGTGGTCATGAAATTGTGAATCTTCATTGGGGTTACAGGGTGGCAGTCTTGGATCCTTCTCGACGGACATATGCAGACTGTTGCAGCTTTGTGAGGAGGATGATGATGCCACTAGCACATTGGCAATGCCAAAGCCCGAGCCTAATGATCAAAGTCTGCAGGGTGATACTAACACAATGTTCCCTCAGGTGGATCTCCTACTTTGGTGATTTACTGCCTACTGATTAGGCTATATATGTTTGTGCATAAGTGCAGGTTATTTTGGTATGCATATAGATCTAGTTATTATGCATGCCTTTACTTCTATTGGGATACTAGTTTTGAAGGTTTTGGTCTTGGAATTTGCATTACTGATATACTGGTTGTGCAGAGTATGCCTAACTTGTTAAGCTTTTATTTTTCTCCTGGAACTTGTCATAGATGAATCATGATAAAGTTGAGCATCATCACTGAAATTAAAGGCTAGAATTCAGAGTACTGGTGATTTTATTTCCACATGTGGTTATTGCTGTTGGCTGCAAGTTTTCTGTCAGCTATTCTCTCTTTCATCTTGACAATTGACATACAACAGGAAATTTTGCCTTCATATCTTCTAGTTTTGTTTTTCAAAAGTTCATTGCTTAATTAGATGTTCATGTTTTTTGTTGAGCACAAGTGGAAGTCCAATTTTTTTTGGGGAATGAGTTATCCATATCAGTAGCTTAGCTTTGCTGTTTAGTGAGAAGACTGTCAAATAAAGAACACAAGTGATATAAACGTGGTGCTTTCCTAAGTTTTATGTTTGCTTTCACTTACCAAGTCAGAACTAAGTAAGTTTGCCGTGTATTGCATTACAGGGTTATGGATTGAATCACAGGCAACAGGAGCATTGCTTTCCATATGCCAATGAATGCAAAGATTCTCCATCAGCAGGTCGTGGGGTAGTTGTGACCAATTTGGAAGGTACTACTCAGTTGGACTACCATCAGTTTGATCTGCCTCGAAACTTTGACCAAAGCTTCTATATTAATGGTATGAATCTATGTGGTGAAGATGGTACCACCCAGAATCTTGCTAGTAGCTATCTTCCAGGTATATGCCCTCCACCTTCAGCCTTCTTAGGCCCAAAGTGTGCACTCTGGGATTGTGCTCGACCGGCACAGGGAGGGTTGGACTTTTGGCAGGTCTACTGCAGTAGGTTTCATCATGACCTAGCCCTGAATGAAGGCCTCCCAGGAATGGGCCCTGTTCTTAGGCCCGGAGGCATCGGCCTGAAAGATGGTCTTCTCTTTGCTGCTCTTGGTGCAAAGGCTGAGGGACGAGATGTCGGTGTCCCCGATTGCGAGGGAGCTGCAACTACAAAGTCTCCTTGGAATGCTCCTGGTAAGTTTAGATGAAGCTTGTCTCGTTTACTTTTACAGCTTTGTTTAGTGAAGTATTACCTCCTACCTACATGTGGCAAATCGGTTGGGTTGGTGGCATTCTCATGAAAATTTTGATTGGCTTTGGAGGGTATTTTATTCATCTGTCAGGTCTAAGGGACTAAGGGTTAAGGGGTGTTGTATATTGTTTTAGAAGTTTTGATATTGAACTGTGAAATGATGGGTGAATTAGTTTGTTAGTAGCTCTCATAAAATACGTTTTTGTACTGAATTAGCAAAAGTTCTATTTGAATCCTAGACCTGTTTGTAAAATTCTGAAGTAAATTAGGTACTGAAATCTGAGGCCCAAAGTATTTATGTACTAAATCCTATGTTGACTCAATATAATGCTTTGACATCGTGGATTGGTTTGTGAGTTAGGTGGGTTTCGAGTGGATTGGTTAAGCTGATATTTGCCACCTCTAGCAGAGATGTTCTGTTTGACATCGTGGATTATCTCTGTTATCTTGGATGACCCAATATAATGCTTTTCTTTTCTGTACTTTGCAGAACTCTTTGATCTTACGGTACTTGATGGTGAGACAATCAGGGAATGGCTCTTCTTTGACAAGCCACGCCGAGCATTCGAGAGCGGCAACAGAAAGCAAAGGTCGTTACCTGATTACAGTGGGCGTGGATGGCACGAGTCGAGGAAGCAAGTCATGAACGAATTTGGAGGACTTAAGAGATCCTATTACATGGACCCACAACCACTGAACAACTTCGAATGGCATCTGTACGAGTACGAGATCAACAACTGTGATGTCTGTGCCTTATATAGATTGGAACTAAAGGCCGTTGATGGGAAGAAGAGTGCTGCCAAGGGGAGACTGACCAATGATAATTCAGTCGTTAATCTACAGAAGCAGATGGGAAGGCTTACAGCTGAGTTCCCTTCTGATAATAACAAGCGTCCTATGAAAGGAAGAGCCAAAGTGGATGCTAAAGTTGGTGCTGGAAATCCTTATCCGGTGCCTAACCGAGTGGTGCCTGCACATGAAGGTTTCGATTATGGACTCGGACCACAGTACAATTACCTTGGTGGTGATTATTATGTGACGTGAGAAGGCAGCTGGCGATTAGGTGAATGCTATTTGCTTGGTCTCTCTGTCTTTGTTGTTCAGGAAGCCAACCCTCCCATCTCTATCATGGATATGGAATATGCATATAATCGAACTTCGAATGGAAAGTGCTACTAACCCAGGTTTATAGCTTGGAAGCTGGAGCTCATTTCAAATTCTCATTGATGATGACGAGAAAGTGGCTATTTTTTTCCCCTAAGCAGCCCATTTGGATTAATTTTGCAGATGGTATGTTGCAACAAACACACTTAACATTTCTGGCAATTTAGTGGGGCTGCTGCTTGATTGCCAAGATAGGTATAGTAATCTAGTATTGCAGTAACTTATGGTTATCTGTACTGTAACAATGCAATCTCGGGCGAGGAATAGTTTATGGTGAAGCTTTCATATGGTTGCACTGTAAACATCATTTGTCTTGCGCCGTAAAACTTGTAAATGGAAATTGGGGTTACCTAGCCTTGTGTCGATGTTCATATCGCTGCTGGTCGGACACTGTTTCTCGCAGAGATTTTTCGTGGTTGTGAAACACATGAACGTATGGTGATTATTTTGATTGTGACCTCTATCAACAAAAAAATAGGGCATCGATAACCATTTCAGGATTTCTGATAATACTGACTGTTAATACTTGCACGACATTAAGGACACCACAAGCAACAAATAACACATCTTGAATTGTTCCGAATGTATCAGTTCTCTTTTTATCAGCAGAACTATGCAGATCTTAGATGCTAACAACCTGCTATCTTATAAGGTTTAAGACATAGAAGACAAATATAACACCAGATAAGAGGCTACCCACAAGGCATATTCATCCGCACTCCTATGCATTACCAGGAAAGAACTCCCACTATAGTTACAAGCTTACAACATAAACTTTCAAGCCTTAGGAAGCAAGGTTTATACGCCTGCTGCAGTCGGTGAATGCCAAACATAGTTCCAGCAGTAGAACTTGCCTGCTCTTTCAGGCACCATCATCGTCAGGGTTATTGACTCGTTCACACTCATCAATCCATTCGCTGTATCTGCAGTGAGACAATTTGTACAGAACGTATTAGCGGGTAAGATCAAGAGGAGCAAGGATCGAGGAATGATACACGGTAAAAGGTCTCTGTTGGATTCACTTACACATCAATTGGTTCAGACAAAGCTGCATAAACAAGGGAAGCAAATCGAAAAAAATAAGTCAGCTTCTGTAGAAAGTTTTCACACATAGCATTGCCGGAATGAATAAGCGAATGACAAAATAGCATTGTCAACAATTAGACTACAAGTTAAACCCTTCGCATGTTACAGTAAGCTTTTCATTCATAAGGTTATGAGAAGAAACAACAGAGTTATTTGGGCTATACACAATCAGACACTGCATTCTACAGAAGATTCGCAAATACCTGAGATGGTGGTGCTGAAACTCTCTTGACAGATACCGCACGAAGCTTCACCGATCATGTTCTTCATATCACTGAACAATATTCATTCAAACAAGTTAATATGACAACCAAAACGATGAAATACCATTCCACTGAGATTATTCATCCCAAACTCCAGGAACTGAAAGAATCCTTACATGCGGCACTCGACACTTGTTCCGTGATTGCAGAAGGGACAACTGAATACAGTATCCAGCTTGTCCATTCTCTTCTTCGGTGGTGGCTTTGCCTTCGACTTCCTCTTTCCCATGTCTAATTCCTGCAACGAGCAATACGAAAATCGTTTTAACCAAAGGAGATACCATGCATATCATATTCCCGCTCTTCTCCCCTCTTTTAATTCACCGATCCCTTCACAGATTTCTCATAAATCAACACCATAACCGCAAAAAGTCCCCAGGAATGAATTCTACACTACTGAACGGATGATCATTATTCATTAAACTAGATAAGCCCAAGCAGTACTGTTCTCGAAACCTAGGGCTTATTCGCTATCTACGATCATATCATATTCTCGCTCTCCTCCCTCATTCGCTGATCCCTTCACATATTCTCAGAAATCAACACCATAACCGCAAAAAGTCCCCAGGATTGAATTCTACACTGTTGAACGGATGATCGTTATTCATGAAACCACATACGACCCAAGCAGTTCCGTTCTCGAAACCTAGGATTTATTCGCTATCTATGATTAAGACGACATACAATTACCAAGCGAGATCGGCGATCACCTGAATTCCACGGCGATTTCGATAGCGAGGCGATTACCTGCAAACACCAAAAGGGCGATTGTATCACCGCGGGGGAAAAAAAACGAAGACAAAAGCTCAGGATTCATCTATAGAGACGAAGGAAGAACAATAGCGATTCTTACTATTCTCAATCGTGGAGCGGAGCTTGGAACCCTAATCCCTTTTCTTTTGATTTAGGTGAAGAATCAGAAGATAAGAGACAAAACTACTACACCCGCGTAGCTTTCATTCATACGTGTCCAGCGACTGCAAGACACGCGCACGCTACTATAAATCGGCTGTCGGGCAGATCCAGTGAAACGGCGCCGTCAGATGATGGTTTGTTTTACATTTATCGGGTTAATTGCATGGTTGGTCACTGACATTACAAAAAGCGTTCATGTTTGGTCACTCGAAATATTTAAATCCATTTTTGGTCACTAACTTTACAAAACCCGTTCATTTATGGTCACTCTCCGTTAGCTGCCGTCCAACGCCGTTAATGGCGTCCGTTAAGTGATGACGTGGCTGACGGATTCGCCTAATCATCACCTTTTAACCCAAATATTGACTGACCCGACCCGCCACGTCATTTAAACCCTCCATGTCAGCCAAACCTAACCAAACCTCTAACCAAACTAGACCAGACCCGACCCATAAATAAAGAATTGATTCGACCCACCACCTCCATTGGGTTTCTGGTCATCAGAAACCCAAACCCACCTCCATTATTCATTCTCATTCATCCTTCCCCAAGCTTGAAAGAAACCCCTGAACTTGGAAGCAAGAAAGAAAAAATCCAATCTTTCCCCCAATCCAATCCAGTTCAAAAACCTTGATCAATCATAGAATTCACAGCTCCATATGGGTTTTTATCCCTCTCGCTGCTCCACTAAGCCTGGGAAGAAATTGTCCGCCAGAGCTTCCTTGCCCTCGCCCACAACAACTTCTCCCTCACCCCAAAACAGAGACCAACAATAATGTGTCCCGGACTTCCCCGATTCTTCCCGAATCCTTCCTCACCGACCAAGACGACGAATTCCTCTCCCTCTCTCGCTTCTGAGGTGAAATCGCCACCGGCCGCCGCTCTCTCTCCTACTCCCTCGACAGCGGCGACGACCACTCCCTCCCAGCGAGGTACGGACCCTGCCTCTCCACACGTATGCTCCTTGGAGATCCGTACGAATTCTTCTTCCTCGCTTCCCTCTTAACCGGCGACATCGTCGACCCCCTTTCCCTCTCCGCCGCCGCCGAATTCATCATCATCATCGGTGGCGGAGCCATACGCGGAGGACCGTCGACAATGCTCCAGATCTCAGAAGAAAGCTGAATCGCCGCCGCCGTGCCGTGATTACCTCGCTTAGGAGGCGCCACCATGGGCGCCACGCCCGTGATGCTCCAGATATCGGAGGCCAGAGGGATGGTCTGATTCCTGTCCCCGGCGGCGGGGCTGTCCTTCTTGTCGAAGCTGAAGTTGGAGGCCGCTCTTCTTCTTGGTGGCCGGGATTTGTCTTCGATTAGGATTTTAGTCAAAGGTGGGTAGATTAATTGGTGGGTCGGGTCAGTTCTTTATATTTATGGGTCGGGTTTGGTTTGGTTAGAGGTTTGGTTAGGTTTGGCTGACATGGAGGGTTTAAATGACGTGGCGGGTCGGGTCAGTCAATTTTTGGGTTAAAAGGTGATGATTAGGCGAATCCGTCAGCCACGTCATCACTTAACGGACGCCATTAACGGCGTTGGACGACAGCTAACGGAGAGTGACCATAAATGAACGGTTTTTGTAAAGTTAGTGACCACAAATGGATTTAAATATTTCGAGTGACCAAACATGAACGCTTTTTGTAATGTTAGTGACCAACCATGCAATTAACCCTACATTTATCTATCGAAATTGGAAAAACCTCATAAACCCTTTCTTCCTTATTTGGGGGAAAAATTCCGATTCACAGGAAGTTTCAAAATGGCTGCTGCTTCCTCCTCCTCGAGCTACTGCCTTTCTCCATTTCCGTCGCCGCTTCTCCTGCGGCGGGAATCGGCGATGGCTGTTCCGTGTTTCTTACCGAAGCTTCCTCTAGTGAAGTCCAGGAACTTCTTCCCGGCGTTGTTTTGCATTTCGCCAAGCCGGCACGCGGTTGACGAGCAGGAAATCCTGCAGTTCGTGGCGGAATCGAACGACCGGATTCTCCCTTGCGTCAGAACCTTCGAGAATGACTTGGCGCGGCTGAGTTTGGTAGGTTCCGTCGGAGTCGAGCAGGCTCTCACCGCCGCTGCCGCCGACGGAGGTCGAGCTGCGTCCGAGCACATCCAGTCCGGCATGTCCGCTATGGTCGTCGAGACTGTTTCCCCTGGACCTTCCGACGAGCACGCCACCGTATCCACTCGATTGGTCAGTAGTTCTCACTGTTTCGAATTGGCAGCTGAATTCTCCTTCATAGAGTTGTAATAGATTTGAACTTTCAAACAGTTTTTGCCTGCGGAGAGAGTGAGAGCAAAAGCTCGCAAGCTCAAAGCAAGTTTCAAGGAGGATGTTCTATCTGGAGTGAGCTCCCAGAACATACTCGCCTTGACATTTAGACAAGTCGTCTTGCAACAGCTATGGAACTTTGAACTTGTGTTGTTTGGGCCTGGAATTGAGCGAGATATGGAGGATCTCGAGACTCCCAGAGAGGTTGGGCGTCTGATATCAATTCACATCACATTCCATTCTTCTTCGCCTGAATCTATGCACAGTTGTTGCTGTTTTGATGTGGTGTCTGTCGTGCAGGTCTCCAACTTGTACTGATAGGTTCAGTTCTCTTCTTCGTATCAGCAGGTTGCTACCTCTTTCTTCCTCAGCTCATCGGACGATCGCATTATCTCTGTGCTAGCAGAAGCTGTCGCCATTGCTGCTCTTCATAATACAGAAACAAGTTTTCTGAGAGGCTTCTTGGGGAAATCTCCCAACAAAATCTTCTCCTGGTTTGGAAAGCGAAGTGGGATAGCTTCCAGAGATTCTTCAGTTGTTATTTACCAGTTGCTTGAACATGAGATCGTTGAAAATGCTGAGACTTTACTTGAAAAGTTCAATTCAAGCAAGGAAATGTTAAGGGGTATGAAAAGGAAGCAGAGGTACAGCTGGTGGACACCCTCGGCACAAAACAAGTTGGAACGTCTTGGTGGTTCTGAGTTCAGTGCTTGGGTGAGTGAGTATGTACCTGTTTATAAGCTGCAAGTTGATGCTGATAAAGCCATGGATGTCAAATTTGAAGGCTGGAGGAACTTGCCGGGTAACAAGTTCGAGGTTCTATTAACGCACTCCCAAATGGTAATTCAAATTGCTTATGTTGGGTGTTTGTGTTGTTTAGTAAATGGATGATTTGCTTGGTGCTCTTTCTTGTGGTAATATAAATTAATATTCCCTTTCGTTTGAATCCTTATTCTATTTGTCTTTGATAGGTTCGTCTGGCTGAAATACTGGACATGTATTATGATGATGCATATTCGCTACCTAGTAAAGAATTGTCATGTGGTACTGTTGCAAATGTTGCTAATTTGTCAGAGAAAAGGGTAAGTAAGCATTTCCCTCTGAAACGTCACGACATACATTTTGCTTCCATTAATGGGATGCTGATTGATTCATTTTACTACAGAGGAATTCAATGTTGATGAAAACCCTTTCAGTAGCCTTGGCAAGTGGAATTTTTCTTATTACATTAGCTGCTGCGGGTCAGTTTGGCTTCTCTTTTCTACGTCAAAGGCAAAAGCATGTTCAAGAACATAGATCACTTTCGACGTCTGAAACTGAGTATATAATAAATGAATCTGTGAATACAGAACAGGTATGAACTTACTTGGGTGTAATTATTATATCAACTCATTTTGATTATGATTGGTGTGATTATGAGAAACTTCTATGGAACTTATGCGCTATCTTCTGGACCCTTTGGCTCTTATTCTTTTTATCCTATGTGTATGTTTCTTTTTTCTCTATGTTGAAATTTTGACTTCCACTATGCAGTTGAATGAATGTTGTGTCTCGGTGATCAAAAGGATAAAGGAGGCATTTGGTTGGCACGGGGACATAATGACGGACTTGAATGCTGGTGCTTGGATTGGCCAAGTTCCGGAGTATCTGAAAATGACTGCGACAACTGATGATTCTACCTCTGAAGGGCTATCAACTGGTTTCTCAACGATACAACATATTGATGAGAAGGCAAAATCATCCGTGCAAGACATTGCTAGTTATCAGGTACTTTCAAACTTGATCAACCTTGGTTTCATTCCTCTTGTTTGTGTTTTCTGGTAAAGATCCATGTACAGTAGTAATTGAACAGTGAGCCCACAATAGTTATAGTTGCTCCCAAGCCTTGAAACACTGTACCAACCAGGTCTGTGGCAAAGTGTCATCACCTTTGACTGAATGATGAACATAATTTGTATCAGCAGTTTCATGGAGACTTGTTTGGTAACTGCTCCATTTTTGTCACTTACCTATGTAATTATGCATCTCGTTTAGGTAGTTCTGTCGACTGATGGAAAATTGGTTGGCTTCCAGCCCACAAGTGGAGTGGGAGTAAACCAGTGGGCAGCCAATCCCTTAGCAAAGGAACTCTACGGTGGAAGAAAGCTAACCCCTGGTATTAATCTTGAATCAATCATCTACCAGACTACCACAAGTTTTGTTACTTTCTGCTGCTGTTTACTGCACTGAGATGACCAACTCTCATTCGTTCTTCTTGTTCTTGCTATACCAGGTTTCATCGAGCCTAGGCTGAATATCGAGCTTCCGGATGAGGTAGTCGTTATCGAGCTGTTGATGTCAATTAAGGATAAACACTTTGCACTGGCAAGACCATTCCAATGACTACTGTTACCCTGGTGTGTAGCTGTTTGGCATCATATATTGACTGCTACTCATTTAAGGTTAGAATAGATTATTATGTATACGAAACTAATCTCTGTTTAAAGTCGTAAATATGATGTTTTATTGGACCATTTTGCCTAAAAATACCGCATAAATGGTGTTTCTCGGTTGGAGAATTTTCGTGATCAGCTATTCCAGGGAGAGAACATTTGACCAAATAACCATTGTTTTTTCTTTCTTCTAATCCCATGGATGACGATGGATTGACGTGCCAAGAATTCTCACACCATCCATAAATAGTTTCCGCCGTAGCCATAAGCTCACATTCTCCTCTTTCAAAGCTCTCCGAGATGATAAAAATGGCTGGAATTTATCAATTATTTCCTTTACCCGAAACCAAAAAAATCCTTACTCCTCGATCTTCTTCCCCAATGCAATGGCGCCCAGCTCAAGCAGTTCCCTCCAAATTGCAATGTACCCATGGTTCGCCCTGGGCCACATCACCTCCTTCCTCCACCTCTCCAACAAGCTCGCTGAGAGAGGCCACAAGATCTTCTTCCTCCTCCCCACCAAAACCCGAACCCGATTCGAGGCGCTGAATCGACACCGGGATCTCATCTTCTTCATCCCGATCCCCGTCCCGCAGATCGACGGCCTCCCCGCCGGTGCAGAAACCACCGCCGACGTCCCCTTCCAGTCACATCCCCTGTTACTGACCGCAATGGACGAAACCAAACCGGTCATCGAAACCCACCTCCGAAACCTCAAACCACAATTCGTCTTCTACGATTTCAGCCACTGGTTGCCGTTACTAGCCCGCGACCTGGGGATTAAGTCCCTGCATTACTGCACAATCAGCCCAGCCGCCGTTGGGTACTTGCTCAGGCCACCAAACAGCAATCTCAAAGCAGAGAAGAGGTCGCTGACGGCTTCGGAGCTGATGAAACCGCCGATCAATTTCCCAGATTCGTCAATTCGATTGAAAGCCTTTGAAGCTAGAGGGTTTGCCGAATTTGGCGAGGGCCGTGATTCATTTACGGAGAGAATGTCGCTCTGTTTTGGAGAGTGTGACATGATTAGCTTCAAGACGTGCGTCGAGATGGAAGGACCTTACTGTAGGTAGGGACTCTCTCCGTCGAGTCGAAATCGAAATCGAGGTTCTTTCATGAACTTTAAGCAATTTAGCTAACTTGATCGTTAAAGAAAAGCAAAGTTAGTTAGCCAACTGTGTGTTCTTCATGCTGTAGGTACATCGAGCAGCAATTCAAGAAACCAGTAATCCTAGCCGGACCAGTCGTCCCCGAATCGCCGAAATCAAGATTAGAAGACAACTTTGCACGAATTCTGGACGGATTCAGCCCGAACACCCTGGTCTTCTGCTCATTCGGAAGCGAATGCAGATTAGAAAAAGACCAGTTTCAGGAGCTGCTCCTCGGCCTCGAGCTGACAGGCCGCCCGTTCCTCGTCGCGACCAAGCCGCTCATCGGAGCCGAATCCTCCCCGATCGAGTCGGCCTTCCCTGAAGGGTTCGAGGACAGGACGAGAGGCAGAGGGTTCGTGACAGGGGAATGGGTTCAGCAGCAGCTGATACTGGACCATCCTTCCGTCGGGTGCTTCGTGACGCATTGCGGGTCAGGTTCGCTGTCGGAGGCGATGGTGACGGACTGTCAGCTGGTGCTGCTGCCGAATGCCGGCGATCAGATCATCAACGCGAGGTTGATGGGCGGGGATCTGAAGGTCGGAGTCGAGGTGGAGAAGAGGGAGGAGGATGGGAAGTTTACAAGAGAAGGTGTTTGTGAGGCGGTGAGAGTGGTGATGGAGGAAGGGAGTGTGGTCGGGGAAATGGTGAGGGAGAACCATAGGAAGTGGCGGGAGTTCGTTTTGAGCGTTGGGGTTGAAGATCAGTATGTTAAGGAGTTTGTTCATAAGTTACAGGCTTTGCTTGATACCTAAATTGTATAGTAAGTATGAACATGAACGCTATATGAATATGTTCGGATGGTTGGATGAAATGAGTCGAGTCGAATCGATTTATAGTAGGAATTTTGAGATGGTTGAAGGATTAGTCGGAGAATCGGGATTCAATTAGGTCAAATATATGGCTTTATAACACTTATCTTGGAAATAGATTGCGTGACATGGATTTAAAAGCTCAGAATGTCATTAAGAGGAGTGGTGATAATCTATTGGGACCCAAAGAAACCAATTGAAACCATGAGCTATATCAGTTAACTACATGTTAAGAGGGAAGTCGAGATATCAACTCACGATCATGAACTGTACAATGCTTATTCATATTGGCATAAAGATTTGAAATAAAAAAATCTTTTATTTTTCCGATTGATTAGCTAAAATTGTGTTGTTTAGCAACTAGATCCGAATCTCATCAATACAAAAAGATGTACGGTTCTATGTATTTGCGAGGATATTAGTGGTAAAGCCGCGTTGATGGTTGGAGAAGCTATAGTCTCCTCACTCTCAAAAGCATGTAAATTTTGTAATAGATTTGAGAAATATAGTAGCTGATAAGATTTTAGTTTCTTGCCAATTCAAATTCTCCGAGCTTAAATTATTAGCCACCTTGTTTAGATTTATAGTTTCCATGCTTCGGAGGATGTAATGCATAATTGAAATGTTAAACAATTGCACGTTTGTTTGTATTGATTTTAATGTGTTTGGTGGTAATTAATTGCTTATTCGATTTGAGTGTCCTAAAAAAAAAAATCAATTCTTTTTACATGGTAGATAACATATTTGAGATAGATTAATATTAACAAATAATCTACTCAAATGATGAATTGCAAAATATTACATTCAATTACATTTTTCTTATAAATAAAGCCTCTCATACTCACACCTGTCCAAACTCCCCTAAACACCCCTACTGGTTTTACTTTTTTTACAAGTTTGCCATTTGGTCCACTTTGTCAACTGCATGCCACCTCCTTTGCCACGTTCCACGGCTCGGACTCCTATTATGAATGATGTAAAAAGTTATAAGTATAATATGTCCCTCTATTATGACGTTTTATCAAACATGTCTCTCTACTATTTTTTACATCAAACATGCCCTTAAGTTAAAATTTTCATTGAAAAAATTGACAATCATGGTTGAACCGAGATTTAGACGACCTGACATCGATAAATGGGAGGGAAAATGTCAGTTTTGACTCTTGATTTATTTCTCTAGGTCTCGTCAAAGTGAAATTATTAGAATTATTTGGCTATACAAAAGAAAAAAACTCTAAAGTGAAATTATTAGGGATATTTTAGATATTTGGGTCGCCCAAACCAAAGTTCGGTCTTGGTTAACGATTTTTGGATGAAAATTTTAACAAAAGGGCATGTTTGATAAGTTTTCCAAAGTACAAGGGCATGTTTGATGTAAAAAATAGTAGAGGGACATGTTTGATAAAACATCATAGTAGAAGAGCATATTATACCTATAACCAAAAAAAATCGTCTTGGTTCACCATAGAAAAATCACCAAAACTTCTGAATCACTGGGGAAACAACAAAAAGGCATAGAAACCCGGTGCAGATCTAAAACTGAAACATATTCAGAGAAGCGACAATAAATTACATGTTGTAGCAATATAAAGAATCCACCATAGGAAGCAACAAAATTGTGATTTTAGAGAATAGATTTTGGGGAAAGAAATCGAAAAGATTATTAGTAATTCAAGTTATCAGTAGATTGTGAATAAAATAATGATGACATGAGCCTCTATTCCTGTTTTGAGGAATCTGAATTGATTCAGTCCATAACAATTGTATCTTTTTTACCTTCTTCGGTTGAACAAGCGATAGAGGCCAAGATAAACAAAGGCGTCAGAGAAACTGAGAATAGGGTTGAGATCGATGAACAACGGGAATGACATGCACGACGATTATGGGAGGCACTAATGTTTCATATCGGTGTAGAAAATCTACTAAGGTAGTAAAGGCAGGGCACAATAGGAAGAGGGAAAGAGAGATATAAATAGAAGCATATAGGTGCGATGATTAACACGGGTTAAATACACGGAGTAGAGGAAATTACTACCATGCCCTCCACCTATCTTCGTTACTACAAACAACGAACATCGATTTCACCAAAATGCCCTTATTTTTAGGTTTCGAAATGTTTACTTTTGGCATGTAGTGAGAAATGTTTAATTAAGCCCGTTTGAACTTAGACGCCCGAATGACAACTAGAGTTTACATTTCGACCAAACCAAATAATTAATTATTATATAACTCTAGAGTTGGCCCAAACGACTGGTTATGAGTAAATCCAATGGCATGATTAAAGCAAAGTTCAAATGTGTTATAGTGAATCAAACCCGTCGTTCATTAGGAGCAATATACACCTTTTAGCAACGGGAGATCAAGTTTTAGAACAGAAGATTAAGTGGGTGTCGGTGGGAGGCACAAATTTGGATGAGAAAGGATGGTAACTTCATGGTGTTGGGGGCAATGTAATCATGGGTTGAAGAGGTTTGAGAGTGATGAGATGCATTGGTCAAAAGTAAATGGTGTTTGACTTGAAATTGGAGGGGATGGGAAGAAATACTTGATAATTTATTTATTTATTTTTAAGATGACAACAAAGTCTTTGAAAAATAATTTTGTTTCAGAGTACACGGCATATTCATGTGGATTGCGTGCTCCGGAATTGTATGTGGTAACATACATTTTTCTAACTTTTTGTGATGAGTCCGTTTGTTGACACCAAACAGACCTGGTATAAAAGTGTTCGAATGCTCTTTTTGGGCAGAGCGAAATTGGCGTGGGAATATTCGAACAAGCAAGTCCAAGGCTGAGGAGTGGGTCATCATTACAAGAATCGATCAAATCTTGGTTCGGGGCAATACCCTTGGGAGTTGAATTGTATGATATCGAGTTCGATGCACCAAAGAAAGCCATATTGAAGGATTGATTTGGGAGGAAATGGCTAAACTTTTGGAGAATGATGTAAAGAAGAAAAACTGGATGGAGAAAATTACTTAATTTCGTAGTGCTTTATATAGGAAAATCAACAAACATTTTTAAGGTAACAAAGCAATTACTTATTTCATGAGTTGTATGAGAAAATTGTACGGAGAGAATCTAGTCATAATTATTTCTTACAAATGGCAGTATAATTCCATGCAAAAAAGTTATGGCGTCAAACTGAACAAGAAAATACATTCAAATGTCATATATGCCATGAAATTTGGAAGCTGAAACCATATCTATCCACTATGAAATGTCAACTTCAAATTTGATACCATAGTGAATGTGTCGATCATTGAATAGTTATTATTTGTGTCGATTGCAAGGTAGATCATGATCTCGCATTTGTATCGTTTTATCATCAAACGTGAAAAACGAACGATGAAAATAAAAATGAGCATGAAATTATAGCACCTCATACAAGCAACCGTAATAGGGCTAATGTGGTATGCACATATTCAATCTTTCTAAGTTTCTATAATTATTATTCTTGTACAAAATACTAATGTGTTACAAAATAATAATAAAAAAGAATACTAATGTGCTGAAAATTTACGCGGTAGAAAAACAAATAAGGGTGCCACGTGTTCTTGTTGACGCAACTGGGCCACATGCCCACAACACGTCGTTTCGAGGGGGTAAAAGGCGATTTACAAGAATCTCTCCACGTGTACGTCCGTAATCGCACCACTGGCTTGCTTTTCCATGGGGTGAATCGCACCAGATCCTGGTCCCTCCACCAAAGAAGAGTTGTTCTTCCTCACTAGGGTTTTTGGATTCCGATTACAGAACGAGAAACGGAAAAACCATTCGATTCCCTATCTCAGCTTCTCCCATCTTTTTTTATTTCTTTCTTTTTCTCTATAAATAAAAACGAATAGAATCTGTGGAGACGAGCGCGGGCTTCTTCTTCTTCTTCTTCTTCGAGGGACTCAATCAGATCGGCTTTTACTCTCGTCGGAATTGAGCTCCGTCTGATTGGAATCGCCGCTCTTAGTACTCATTAACACCTATCTGTTGTTTTTTTCGGCGGTCGGAGCACCATGGGACGAGGAAAGTTCAAGGGGAAGCCCACCGGGAAACGCCAGTTCTCGACTCCCGAAGAGATGCGTAAGCTCCTCCTCTTCCTAATTAGGGCTTACCGTTGTTTTGACTTTGTGATAAATTAAGTCGTGGTGGATAGATAAAAGATTTTTAGTGGGGAATTAGGGCTTTTGTTGGCCAGTGATATGTAAGTTGAAATCCTCAACATAGGGATGAACCTGCAGTAGTCTACTGGGAATCCAATAGGAGCTTTGAAAGTCCAATATCTAGTTACACTTGTAGGTTGCAAATTTGACCAGAAAGTGGTGAGCTTTTCTTTATTAAACATCGATTCAACTTCTAGCTAGGTAGACTATTGTCTTTAATCTGTGGATGAGCTTTGGCACTAATTCGTTTAGGATAAGAGGTGCCATGAATTCAAGGAAACTTGACTTCATGTGGGTTATTCTGCTCTCGTTTATCTATTTATGCAACACATAGTACAATCGGTGAAGCTAACTTTTTGGTTGATGGGTCTACATGATTTCAGTTTCTGGGAGCTCTTCACGCCCGAGAACATTCAAACGGGTCTGTATCAGCATATTGTTTCTTTTTCTTCTTTATGTAGTTGATCTTTGCTCTTAGTTTACCGTTCCTTTTAAATAATTGGGCCCTGCATGCTTCAATAGGAGGAAGCTGCATATGAGGAGGAGAAAGCTGAAGAAGAATCAGGCGAGGAGTCTGGAGAGGAATCTGGAGATGAAGAGTCTGATGTTAGTGATCCTTGGCTGTTTGACTTTTCGTAGTGGTCGTATTAACTTTATCATCCCCTGATACTGATACTCGTCGATCTCTTACTGTTGATTGGTATTAGCAAAGGAGAAAAGGAACTGAAGGTCTCATCTCAATTGAGAACCCAAATCTGGTGAAGCCAAAGAATTTGAAGGCTAAAGATCTTGATGTAAGTTGTTAGACATGGTTGCAATTATGTGTTTTCCAATGATCGATAAATAACCGGTGTATTGTTTGCAGATGGGGAAAACAACTGAGCTTTCTAGGCGTGAAAGGTTAGTGGTTTGTGAATGCTTGTGGTTTCCCTTTCGACAATACCTGTTTTATCCTTTTCAATATAGAAGGAAAAGAGCATTGCCGCCTAAGGAATCAGTTATTTCATTTGTAGTGTAGCTTGATATAGATACTCGTTTCATCTTGATCCTTTTAGCATGGTTGAGAATTTGTAACCTGCCTGGCTGAAGATTCTTAGCAAGAAAACCAGTGGGAATGAAATTCTAATTATTCATCCTGTTGTTTTTGCAGGGAGGAGTTGGAGAAGCAGAGGGCACATGAGCGATACATGAGGCTCCAAGAGCAAGGGAAAACTGAACAAGCTAGGAAGGACTTGGGTAAGCTTGATAAGATTATAGGGTAATAAGATGGCCACTTTACCAGGATCTACGCTTTACTAACTCACTCTGGATTTCGTGTTCAAATTGCCAGAGCGTTTAACTCTCATTCGCCAGCAGAGGGCCGAAGCTGCCAAGAAACGAGAAGAGGAGAAGGCTGGTAAGTGTTCCACATCATTCAGCTTGTTTGGTCTTGTGATCATCTACAGAGTAGTGTGCAGTTGAACTAGAACTAAACAAATGGAATTCGGTCGATTTCATTTCAGCTAAAGAGCAGAAGAAGGCAGAAGCTAAGAAGTGATTCTCCCCCATGATGGAGAAGGGTAGGCAGCCGTAGTAGTACTGAAGAAGAAAGAGTTGCCCTGCTTAGTTTATAATTGTTATTTCGTTCTGACGCTTATTGTACCAGCATCAAAGCGGTATTTTGGTATGCAGCACAGCTAATACACAACATGGTGTTGATTTGTTTCGCTTTTTAGTCAGAGGCTCTGGCTTGTGGATTTTCTATACTTCATTTTCTCCTTTCCTTCGACGTTTTTGGTTTTGCACAGTATTGTTATTTCAGTTGTCAGGATTTGATTTAGTCCCATAGATTGTTGTTGTGGCCAATTTCGCACTAGTTGTCAAATGGATTTTTCTTGGAGTCATCACCATAGTCTATAAAAAAAAAAATTCATATTGTTTGATCTCTGAACCCCGGGCAAAATGGTCGACCGGCTGTAGTTTTTATTGTTAATGACTATGGTTGTGAATTGAATTTGTGAATTTCTATTGTAGTTTGTTGTTGTATGATATTCGTGATTTGATGTGGTTCAGAATTGTATAGAGGTCGATTGGAATAGACAGCAACTCAAACAGTTGTATTATTTTTTTAGTAAGAGGTCGACTGTCGACATGTTCTAGACTTGTAGTATGATGCTGGCAGTTACATCATAACTGTATATATAATGGTAGTGTTTTCGGTGCACTTACTTTTTTGGTTGCGTTCAGTGCACTCATTTCATAACTGTCATTTTGAATATGCTGTTTACGTCAAAATGATGTCAATCATTACTTATGATGTGATGAACAATAATGCATATGAATTTGCACAAAAACCATTAAAATTTTACTTTAATTTGAATAATTTAGAGTTTAGAGATTTAGGGTTACGGTTAGAGTTTACAATTTGAGGTTTAGGGATAGAACTCAAAAATTGGAGGTCTAGAGTTTAGGGTAATCCGCTAATTAGTTGTTATCATATGTTATATCATCATCATCATATTACATTAATTCTACAAATTAAAATTCAAAATATGACACCGTAAGACTAGTTTTTTTAGTTGGGTGCATTGAACACACTCATTTTTGTGAGCGCACCGAAGTAATCACCATATATATATATTCGGTTGATGCGATACTCTTTGGGATCGAGCTTTCTTCTATCCGTTTGATCCTTTTTATGGAACGGTCGATCTCTTTACTAAAATAGTCAATATTTTTGCTTATGAGTTCCTTACAGACGCATAACGAGTTAAATTGTTGAACTTATTTTCCATTAGGATGGACATGTTCGTGCAACCCGACAAATCGTAAAATTTTTTCTCGGTCCACCATTTTGTTCAATCACCAATTCACCATAGACATACTCAGAGCCCAGAGGCTCATTCTCCAATTAGTTAATCCACAAATTTGGGCCTTCATAAAGCCTCTAAATGGGCTTTCTTGATAATGATGGGAAGTCCATCTTTTGTCGGCCCGGAGTACAGATGGCAGCTCACGAACGCATAAACAAGAAAAGAATCACCGAGTCGAAGATCTGAGAGAGAAATCAAACGGAAAATCCGATCGCCATGACTGAACCGCAGAAACCACCTCAAACCGACCTCCCTTCTTCCTCTTCATCAGCTCCGACGGAATTCAAGCCCGCCGGTAAAAGCAGCGCCGGTTTCCTAGGTCAAAAGCCCCACTTCCCGAACCCGCCCGACTCCAGGAACCCGGACCCGGCTACCCTGAGGGAACAATGGCGATTCGCCATCAGGCAGTATAGCAGGTGGTATTCCCAAGCCTGGGGTTCGGCGATTCTCGCCGGCCTCTCCTTCTTCGCCCTCGGGTGGGTCATCAAAGGCGGCAATCCTCTCCCCTCCTTCAAACCCGACGACGACAGCAACAACAATGACAACCCTTCCTCTTCTGTGACCGCCGATACCAATGCTCGCCGTTGAATCTGACTCGTAAGTTTCCGCTCTCTTTCTGATTGGATTTTGAGAAACTGTCAAATTAGTCACTCCTTCTCTCTACTAGTATCACTGATTTTGAAGTTGGGTTGCCTGTATTTCAGTTGTCTGAATTTGGTCGGTTTCAGTGTTCATCCTTCTGAATTCATCATCGACTACGGAAATGTCTGTTTTGCAGGCGAATGAAGAATGAAGAATGCAGAAAAAAACCACCCTGACTCTGCAATTTCCTTGATCAGTTTTACACACGAGTTTAGCAGAATGTTGCGTTTGGATTGAAATTACTGAAAGGGTTTGTAACATATTGATCTTCTCTGTTTTTCTCCTTTCTGGGGGGTCCTTCGACAATGTAAAAGTAGCTGTTTGTTTTGGATTTGCTGTATAAGACTTCCCTGCTGATGCTCAATGTGAAAGAAAACACTAGTTTGGTTCTTCATTAGCAACGTTGAAACCCCAAATAGAATGCTGGAAGCAAAGAAATAGAACTGCTACATTTGAAATTGATATCTCTGGTTAGCAGGTCTACACTAGTTTTGCCTTTACTAGGATTCTCAGTTCTCACAGTTAAATTTTACTTGTGCGTGTATATATGAACAGGGTAGATTATACAATCACCTAAACAAATACATATTCCTTGAGCAACAATCTTGCTCTCAAACCTCTCACCACTCTCCACTTCTTCAGAACAGGATCAATTGAACTCCATTGCTCTGTTTTTACCCCCAAAATCTCTTAAGAAGAGCAGCAGCCTGCCTTCTTAACTGCAGACACATCATCTCTGCCACCAACGTTGATCGTCTGCCCTCGAGGCAATGCTGCTGGATCGTCACCGATATCAAGCGCCTTCCTGCTGACGACACGGTAGATCTGGGTGAGCACCTCAGTGAACGCGTTCTCCACATTCATTGACTCCAAAGCTGATGTTTCCATGAAGAAGGTGTTCTCTCGCTCTGCGAACGACTTGGAGTCCTCGGTGGAGACTGCCCTCAGGTGGCGGAGGTCGGCCTTGTTCCCGACGAGCATGATGACGATATTGGCGTCGGTGTGGTCTCGGAGCTCCTTCAGCCACCTCTCCACGTTCTCGAACGTGACGTGGCGTGTCACGTCGTAGACGAGCAGTGCTCCCACTGCTCCTCGGTAGTATGCGCTGGTTATGGCTCGATACCTTCATTGCAAAACCAGAAATGAATGAATCCCAGAAGCATAATAGGGAACTTTTAACAAAATGGTCTACAACCCAATTGCAAAAGATGAAAATTTTAACAACGTGGTCCAAAAGGTGTATCTGCACTTCCAGGTTTTGACAGGTTTTCATTGAAATGAAAGACATCACAGGAAACTTGAACAATTTGTTCCAACAGAGATATCCAAGAGGCTACTTTCATAGCTGCGAAACAACCTCAGGTTGAATAGACAGACCATGGCGGATGGATTTTCGATCAAACAACTCTAATCAGCATTGTGCCCTATTATCAAATCACATAATGTAATACAGCTCTTCCTAGGTTTGTACCAAATCAATCAAACAAAGAAGGCGATTCCATGAGAAGCCAATGTCCATTTTCCAACTAATTGCCAATATGCCCAAAATCTGTATGGCTTTTTCAAATGCAGATGAGGAATTCTGTAGCTAACCATCCACAATTGATCAAAAGGCAAAAAATCACAGAATGGGGAGAGGTCCGAACCAAAGCATCAAAACCAAAATGTACCCAATTGCGGGAACTATGAAAGGAGTATAATAGAGAATGTGGGTTCATCGGAAATCTCGTCGGAGATCTAGAAAGGCGATAAATCAGACGGAGAGAGATTACCTTTCTTGGCCAGCAGTATCCCAAATCTGGGCCTTGACGACCTTATCATCGACGTGGATGCTCCGAGTTGCGAACTCAACTCCGATCGTGGATTTCGATTCAAGGCTGAACTCGTTCCTGGTGAAACGGGACAGAAGGTTGGATTTCCCGACGCCGGAGTCGCCGATCAACACAACCTTGAACAAGTAATCGTAATCATCGTCGGCTCTATACGCCCCCATTATGAAAAATTTCCTTTTACCCCCTTCTTTTCTTCTTCCCTGCCGTCGACCACCGACCTATCTCCTTCTTTGTTTCGTGTGATATGATTCCGATTTTTCTTTCTTAACAGCTAAAAGACGAAGGCGCATCGATTGGAAGGGGAAGGCACATCGTTACGGAGCAACGGATATTAGCCAAAAAGGAAAAGAAAAAACAAACGGGAGGAGAGGGAAAGAGAGAGACAGGGCCTTTGTAAAATTGGCTTCTTTTCGTTTGGAAATCTAATTGTAGCTTTTGTCTGTGCCTTTCCTTCAATTTAAACCGGTGTTTGCCTTGCCAATATGCCTGAAGAACGGCTACACCATCCAGTCTCAATTTTCATTAACAACGCGCGGGAATGTTTTGTTGATCTCGTCGGTCGGTCTGTCGGTCTTATAATGAATTATTATCGAGTCATTTGAATTTGAATTTTTGTTAAAAAAAACTGAGATTTTTTTATCGAATGTGTATCATTTCACGAAATCGGATATTTGACGTTGAAACATATGACTCAAATATACTTTGATTGAACGTGTATCATTTCACAAAATTGAATATTTGACGTTGAAACATTTGATTAAAATATATCGGTTGCTTGGGAGCTTAGAATGTGACAATGCTAGATTAGTGATGGCAATTTCAACCCGCCCCGCGGGTATTACCCCGCCCGCAGTAGCGTGGGGCGGGGCATGAGTATCTACTTCCGACCCGCTCCGCCCCGTTCGAGACTCATTTTATCTCAATTTCTTACAATATCTATACATATTTCTCCTATTTTGACTTTTCTTCAACTAGTTAGAGTCGATCTTTCAACTTGTTAGGCTCAATTATCTATTCTATTATCAATTTCTTACAATATCTATACATATTTCTCCTATTTTTTACTTTTCTTCAACTAGTTAGAGTCAGATCTTTCCCTGCATTTTATTGTAAAAAGTAAAATTTACTTGTATTTTTTTTGAACAACATGTAAGAGTGGGTCGACTCACCCTGCCCCGTACTCGCACGGGTTTTACCCGCCCCGACCCGTAATAGCGTAGGGCGGGGCATGGGAATTGAGGTACCGCCCCGCCCCGCCCCGCCCCATTGCCATCACTACTAGATGCAGGTTTGTATTTTGTAGCTTGGTAAAATAGAAGGTTACGTCCACTTCCAAACGGTTGCTAGGACAAGTGGATTACCCATTGGGGGAAACAAGTATTGAACTGAAAAACAAAATTTTGAACCGAATGTACATATACCAATTTATGCATCTTATATAGAAAAAAGAAACAGACATTAAGACTTAAAAGGATCGATGAATATACAACATACTATTTTTATCTCATGTATAATATATGACGATTTGAGTATATATATATATGGTTTGCTTATGATAATTTTGAATATGTATGGAGAGCTTGTGATGAGGAGGCTAAAGGAAGTTGCATGTCCTTTGCTTGCGAGGCTTCCTCTTCGGCTTTTGTGGTCGCAATACTATCTTTATCGCGGTATCAAACACCGTCTTCACATTCTGATTCACAAGACAACACTATCAAACACCGAATGTACATTCTTTTTCTTAATCAACATGCTGATAAATCGATGTGTACCTGCTGAGTTTTGGAGCTGCACTCGATGTAAGCCACAGCACCAACCATTTTCTTCAGTTCTTCTCCCTGTGCTGTTGTGATGGGAGCTGCTCCAGGGTGATCAATGAAGAACTGTTCGTCTTCTCTTTGATCTGCAACACACAAACCCAGATAAGGGTTTTTTACTTTGTTCCATCACAGCAACCTATGCTAAAACTGATACAGGTGACTGAAAACTACAATTGGCTTACCAAGTTTGGTTCCCACTAGCAAAATGGGCACATTTGGGGCATAATGTCTCAGCTCAGGAATCCACTGTATCAGCAGCTCATCATGTCAAGAACAGAATCAGAATTCTAACATGAAAGAAACCCAAAAAGAGGATCGAGAGCGCGAGAAATCGCGCCTACCTTTTTGTGTATGTTCTCGTAGCTTGCTCTGCTGGTGAGGGAGAAAGCCAGCAGAAACACATCAGCTCCTCTGTAGCTCAGTGGCCTCAACCTGTTGTAATCCTCCTGCCCTGCAATTAGCTCCATTAGACCCACAAACCATCAGTATTCATAGTCATTTGCTCATGGCAGCAAATTTGTTAACTGATTCACTATACCAGCAGTGTCCCATAAGCCAAGATTGACAGTACTGCCATCCACCACCACATTGGCACTGAAATTGTCGAACACCGTAGGGACATAATCCTGCAGCCAAAGGGGGAACTCATTACCGAATTGCAGCTTCGAGGTGTCGGTGTAAAGGATTGAAGAAATCGACAATACGAGAAAGTACCGTGGGGAAGGTATTGCTGGTGTAGGAGATGAGCATACAAGTCTTCCCCACAGCTCCGTCCCCAACTGTCACGCACTTGATGAACCTCGCAGTACTCATTATTCGTGCTGTGTACAGTCAAATCTGATCGAATTCTCGTTATGATTCGATCCTGGTGAGCCAGAGCATATGTGTTCTTCTGGTTGTACAAATGATGTTACAGGGAAGAACAAGTGAGAAATGTGAGAAGGGAAGAAGTACGTATTAAGTATATGAGCTGGGAAATGGGAGCAACCCAGCCACCACCCGCCAACAGCAAGCAGAGAGTAGATGTGATTTCCTTTCCAAAACTTGAATCATTGCGAGAATCCCTTTTCTTTTCTTTAAGTGCAAGCGCCAATGGCGGGCGGTAAAAAGAAGATAAGTGGGTTGGGTGGCCGGTTGGTTGTTAGTTCTTGGGATTTTATTAGGGTTTTGAAGTGTTGAAGAAGGAAGCCAGGGAGGGAGACAATTATGTGGTAACTAACGACTGATCAGGAAAATACCCAGAAAGAGCCATTGTGATTGTGAGAATAAAACAAAAACATGATTCACTTATGATTGATCAACCACCTTAAAGTTGTTTTTTTTTTTTTTTGTGGTTGTTGCTCTATGCATCATTACATGTTGGTGGTGCGGTTTAATGTCGATGCATCGTTTCGAAATAGCTCCTCTTACTGTCAATTCGAATTGACGCAAAATGAAGTAGGACTGAATTGTCTCGTCATAACAAAATCGCCTCGTCCGGCAACACAGATTAGAGATGCAACGATCTTGTCGAGGCATTTTGAACTGCTTCATTTGGAGCTATTGAATAAAATATTAAATAAAATATGAGGTATTTATGCGATTTTAGAAAATAAAGTTTGATCCCAAAATCCTACTCCAAGATAGATATCTAAGTGCCTAAGCATGACTACAACCCTCGAGCAAATTTCCGTGAGTACGTTATCCATCGAATATATCCTAGCAAATTAGTTTCTGCTAGTTCGAAAAATGTCGAGGAATGTAGATGAATGTCAAGTACTCAAGGCGATGAGACATGATCTAGAAGAGATTTGCGTATAATTTGAAGCTTCCTTTACTATTTTTTACTAGTTTGGGATATTCGAACTATTTTATTATTAACGGTGCTCTAGATTTGCATTAATTAATGTTCAAGTTAACTTAATGTTGCTTGTGAATTAAGAAAGGGAAATCGATTAAGAAAAATAGAGTAGAGGGCTGGCGGCCTAGGACAGAGAAGATTGGTACTCATTTTAACAATATGGGCCGGACAAGATGAGATGGTTCGGGCCTTACATGGAATATTGACCGAATAGCCACAAATACTAGTTAGCCCACCCAACAATTTACCACAAGCAAGAGGATGAAGACGTAAAGTTTTTACCTAAAAGAACTAGCGTGGGCAAGGGTCAGTTGGCCGGAAGTTATGAAATTTTAGAATGTAATGGAGTGTATACCTTATTATTGTATAGTTTTTTTTAAAACATGTGATAAAAATAGTGAATTTAGCAGCAAAGAGGCATGGATGATGCAACGAATCAAAAATCAGCTTTATGAACCAAGTTCGAGTACCTGTTACCTTGTGAAACAGTATTATTTCTGGTAATATGATGAGGTGGAGTAAGTTTGATAGAAACCGAATTACAGAAAACAGAATAAAAAATTTCCTATAAAATACACTATAATTTAATCATTAGTATATATTTGAAATTATAAAAATTGGACTAATTTAGTTAGTCGAGATCGAACCATTTAATAACTTTAAAATACATTATATTTTAACCACTAAGATATAAAATAATAGCATAATATATGTTATGCTAGAGAAAATAGCATGTTTTAAGATGGCAAACCCATGATGTTCATTTGTTTTACTTGATGGTCAAATCCCGTATGGGTCAAGCCCATTCAGCTCTTTTATTCTATGGTTAACGGTTAACCCATTAGAATCCATGCATTAGTTTATTGTTAAATTTTTTTTCCTTTTAGCAATAAAAAAGGAGTATTGTTTTTGCCATTTCATATATATCTTACCAACCCCAAGAAATAAAATGGCTTAAAGAAAACCCTATATCCCCTAAAAAAAGCTGCTTAGTGCTCACCGGCTTATGGTTCACTTTTCTCTCTCGATCTCAATTATATCACCGTCGGTAGCCACTTCTCCCCATCCCTGTTTTCCTGCCGTTAATTTTAGCTCTGCAAACCTTTTCCCTACATGTCATCCTCCCCACGAACCTCAATTTCAACTCCCCCTCTCGGTCTCTGTTTTTCATTTCTTAATCTTTCCTTCTCTTATCACTTGTTTAAACTCCTCTTTGTATATCTTCGACGCTAGTTTAGCAAAAGAAGAAGAGAAAGCCACCAATCTTCAATAGTACTGTATTGTTACAGCGAAGCGATATTGTGGATTTCTTTGTCACTTATCTGTTAGAACTTGCGAATGATGGAAAAAGGGGTGGTTGATTACGATTTGATTAGATGCCTCAATCTTTAAATTTTACTTGCATGCAATTTACCACTTTTCTTCATTTGCATGACTGGATCATTTTAGTATGCTTGGATTTCTTTTAGTATGATGGAAAAAGGGGTGGTTGGTTACGATTTGATTAGATGCCTCAATCTTTAAATTTTACTTGCATGCAATTTACCACCCTTCTTCATTTGCATGACTGGATCATTTTAGTATGCTTGGATTTCTTTTCATAGGGAAGGGATTATGCTATTAGCACACGAAAAAAGGATTGCAGAAATTATTTTGTAAACAATTATGAAGCTCACTTTCTCTAATTATTTCATTTATTCCCGTCGTGGGTGGAGTCTAGATCTAGCATCGGAACAATCCAAGACTCGGTTATGGTGATCGCTATGGAGGCACGAAACAGATGCGACCGTGGCTGAAACCTGTTCTTTTTTTTGTGGGCAGCAACAATCCCTGGGCCCGTTCAAGTCCGCACGCGTACGGTAAGTTGGCCCGTTCCACAATGAAAGAGAAAAATATTGACACTCCCTAATATACCCTCCTACAAACGCTTCGAGAGCAGGAAATTTGAAATGGGAGAAGAGTTTTTTCCTTCCTGCTATTATTATGTGTAGATTGTAGTAATTAAAACCCCACTTTTAAATCTGGAAGCAAGTGACGACTATCACAAAACATCATATTATAAAAACTTATATGCAACCATGAGGCTGTTTCACTCAAAATAAACTTTGTTTTATATGTTAAAGATCAGCATTATAGCTTGAATAGTTCAATTCGGCAATGATCTCAGGTCTTGCATATAAGTTTTATGTAAAAGTGGTATGATTGAAGCTATTCCCTATTTTAACACTATCAAAATAGTCTTTATTTACTGGAAACTAACCACCCAAACATTTCAAATAAGAAAAATGATGATACTGAAAAGGAGTATTATAACAAAAGCAACAAAAAGTATAGTTATTTATCTTTAATCAACTCAAAAGTCAACCTAGAAGATCAACCAAATGAACTGATGTTAAGAGATCATACATTACTATCAAAGAAACTAAATAACCCATCGGTCATCTCTCCAAGCAAGAACACTCAACCTTTACATATTTACTCCTCCAAAAATTGCTTTGCGTAACAATATAGGTGGAGGAGGTTAGGCGGTTGTCGAGTTCGATGGGAAGGTTTGGAGAGACGGTGATGGTTGAGCCTTTAGTAGGACGGGAGCCCGGAACACGGTTTATCTTTAATAAACTCAAAAGTCAACCTAGAAGATCAACCAAATGAACTGATGTTCAGAGATCACACATTAGTGTCAAATAAACTAAATAACCCACCAGTCAGGTCTCCAAGCAAGAACATTCAATCTTTCCATATTTAACCCTCCGAAAATTGCTTTGTGTAACAATATAGGTGGAGGAGGTTAGGCGATTGTCGAGTCTAGTGGGAAGGTTTGGAGATACGACGATGGTTGAGCGTTTAGTACGTAGGTCGGGACACCATTTAGACCTATTTACATTAGTTGCGGCTTTTCAATTAGCATTCAACAAATCAACATCACTCAACATTTCCATATTTACCCCTCTTTTAAAGACACATGTTACACATATTCACTCAAAACTTCTATGTTCAAAAATATTGTTTCTTTATGTTAGTTATATTATTTAAGTCTGTCAAGAATTTGCATCGCTTCTACACATTCAATACTGCAATTCGATCTGCAATATTTGCACCAATGACATTAGGCTTGTGATTTTAAAATTATTCTCCTTTTATAAGATAAATAGAAATAGAATTAATTATTAAACTCGAATTAGAATAATCAAAGTATGAAAATAGAAGTATCAAATACCAAAAAAATATTTAGGGGGAGAGTTAGTGGCTTAGCTAACTGTGATGGAAAATTCCAATGATTTTTCAGATTTAAACTTCCTGTATGTTTTTAATTTAAAAGGTTTAAACAAATTTTTTTAGTCTAACTGGTTATGTTTCTTTTCTTTTCTCAAAAAGTTCACAAATCAAATCCCATCACTTATGTATTTTTCCTGCAAATAAGAAAATAATAAATGACTGTGAAGACGAATCTACCATTCCTACTTTTGCTATGGATGCAAGGATTTTGTAATGGGGGAAGCACCTTTCCTATTTCACTCTTATATTAGGTGTAGCGAAAGTAACCCGGTGGTTGAGTGTTTAGTGGGTGGGACACTATCTGAGCTCGTTTACATTAGTAGCACATTTTCCATTTGCGTTGGGCAAACCAACAACACTCAATCTATCCATATTTACCCCTCCAAGAATTCCTTTGGCTTAATAATAGAGGTAGAGGAGGTTAGCCGGTTGTTGAGTCTGATGAGAAGTTTGGAGAGACGGTGATGGTTGAGCGTTTAGTGGGTTGGGGCACTATTTGGGCCCGTTCACATTAGTAGTGTCTTTTCCTTACGCGTTCGGCAAACCAACATCGCTCAACCTTTCCATATTTACCCCTCTTAAAGACACATGTGCCCCATATTCACTCAAAAGTCCAGTGTTTAAAAATATCGTTACTTTATGATAGTTATAACAATTAAGTCTATGTTAAGAATTATACATCTCTTCTACACATTCAAGAGTGCAATTCGACATGCAATATTTGAATCAATGACATTGCTAAGCGTGGTGGAAAACTCCTATATTTTTCCAGATTTAAGCTTCCTGAATGTTTTTAATTGAAAAAGATCACACAAATGTGTTTATTGTAACTGGTTATGTTTCTTATTTTTGTTCGAACATACCACAGTTCAAATCTCATTATTGATGTTATTTTTCTTGTAAATAAGAAAATAATAAGTGATTATGAAGAGGAATCTACCCTTCTTACTTTCACTCTGTATGCAAAATATTTGAAATGTGGCCTCAAATTTTCTCATTCGACTTTTATTTATTGTGTAGATGGAGCCGATAACTACTCGGGCCCAAACCTACATGAGAAACATGAGCCGAGATGTACTCTAATTATGAACTATTTTGTTTGAACTAAACTGATAATTAGGTATTAACCAATAATTTTTTTGATAATTAGGATGGAAAGAGAGTAGTTAATTCATGGTTTGACGTCCATTTGAAAATAATTTGAGCCGTAGTGGGTCCTTCATCGGTGAATCTCATATTCCCACTTGTTTGAGTAGGTGGTGGATTCGTTGTGGATCACCCGAATAAATCCGCATCTCACTTCCACATGACAAAAATTTGTTTCTTGTTTATGTTATTGAATAGTCACCGTATTTCATAACCACATCGTATACTGCTCATCGACTATTAAAGGCGATAAACATCCAGTATTTCCTAACCGCTACTATTGTTTACTATATTGTCTAATTTTCGTTAGATATTGAGATATAAATTAGAAACTATTAATTGTATCAAAGCCCCAAAAAAGTATCAATTTACACAATTAATTGTTGGAGTAATGAAAGATTTGATACATCATTAATAAAGTGAAATCTAAATGCTCAAAGAGCCTTGATATCTTTGGATATTTGGTCAGTAACTTTATTTACCCAGACAATGAACAACTTTTGCATATTACGAGCAAGACGACTCCACAGAAGATATTGTGGTAATGATGACAATAAAACGGAACAGATATTTCAATACTTATACCACTTACGCTAAACACAAATCAGATCGGATAATACTCACAGAGTACCAACCTCTCCAAAGCTTGACTAGCTACCAACCATATCTCATAACCAAACACATACTCGCCACCTTTTTGTATCCATCTCTATCGATGACTCGACGTGAACACGTTTTTGTCTGCACATGCACAAATGGCTAATTGCTGGCCTCTGTCAAATGTCCATAATCTGCAACGTAAGTGTTGCTTTTGATTCGTAGCTTTTGACAGGGACGATTTATAGCCGCAGCAATGGCAGTCAGGAGCGATTTAAAGTGAGATCCAGACTTTGTCGAAAACTACCAGATTTGCTTGTTTGGTATGGTGATGATGAGAAAACAAGATTTGTTTGCATCTCTGATTCAACACCTTTGATGTTGAAAGAAAGAAGAAATGTTGTCCCAAATTTGATCCATTGTTCGTCTTTCCATAAACAACTATAAACTTCTTGATTTTGAATTTTCAACCCCATAAGTCATACGTGCCACCTCTTTGATCCTTGCTTTCACCTAACAATTTTTTCCTTGTGTTGTGTTTTTCATAGTCTTTATGATTAGTTTATGATATGTAATGTTCATTCAATGTTTGTGTTAACGAACAAACCACTTGATCACAATAACTTAAGTTGGCAAAAGTCGACTTGTGGGTTTTTATAGTTTTCAACTAAACCACTAGACTTTCAGTTTCCCAACAAATTTAAATTAGGGGTCGTCATGAGGGCTCAGAACAATAAACTTTCGGTTAAGGGCTCTGATACCATATTAACGAACAAGCCATTTGATCTCAAATCCCAATAACTTAAGTTGTTAGGAAAAGACTTGTTATGGGTTTATCTCAACTCTAAAATCATATGTGTTTTACACTACTTTTGATTTTAATTTTGATTTAATGATGTGGGGAATGACTATCCACGGGTTTCCGAATACAACGAGAATGAGGATAGTCTTATACACATTTGAACTAAATTACCGAATCAAACCGTTAGTTATCCTACAAGCGCGAATGTAAATATACAAACTTTCCTTTACATAAATGAAATACCACAAAAACCAAAATATGGTAAGACCTATCTTAGTTATAATTTTGTACCTAAATAATCTATTAATTTGATATGGAAAGCAAATTACAAAACATTACTTAACTAGGACTCTAAAGATACATATATAGTATTAAGGGTGAACTTCAGTCTATTCAACCGAGAATCAAATGAAATCGAGACAGGATCAAATTAAAATCAAATTAAAATTGAAGACCAAAATTGAAAAAAAAAAATGTTCTGTTCATTTGTTTCGACAATTCGACTCATCAATTCCAATAGTATAAAATCAATTCCAATGGTGGCTTTACTTACGAGTCAAAAAGCTTCACAGGTTCTGTAAAAATAAGATTGGCCAGAACCCACCAACCCTAATAGTAAGATGGAAAGATCACACTACATAGAAAGAAAGCCAAAACCCCTTTGGTCTCCATCTCCCCTGTTTTCCTCCTTCCTTCCCTCAATCCAAAACAATCATATAAATTCCCATAAACAAATCAACCATTCAACGAAAAATTCCAATCCCACCCTCATTTCCCCCCAATAAATTCAATCCAAGCACTCAAAATACCAAAAATTCGACGCCTTCCTTTTGTTGTTCTGTTCCTAACAGCCTTTTCTTCCCCCCAAGAACAATAAAAAAAAACCCCCTCTGTTTTCCAACTTTCAGCCATGGCGCAGCAGAACGAGCTGCCTTTCAGCGAGAACGACTCGCAGGACATGGTGATCTACCAGATGATGAGCGAAGCCTCCAGCCGCAGTTCGCACCCGAACTCGCTCCACCATCTCCAGCCTGTCATCTCCAAGCGCCACTACAGAGGCGTCAGGCGCCGGCCGTGGGGCAAATACGCCGCCGAGATCCGCGACTCGGCCCGCCACGGCGCCAGGGTGTGGCTCGGCACGTTCGAGACCGCCGAGGAAGCCGCGCTAGCTTACGATCGGGCCGCCTTCCGGATGCGGGGTGCGAAAGCCGTGCTCAATTTCCGGCCGGAGCTGGCTGCTGCTGCGGCGGCGGAGCCGATGCAGAGGATGATGAATCACCCCGGGAAGAAATCCGGCTCCGCGGCGGTGGCGGCGGCTGTGGGTAATGATGGTGGGAACAGTAAGGATGTGAAGCCCGAATTGAGTTGCGACAATGGGTCGATGGGCGCGGCGCAATCGGAGTCGTCGAGCGGCGAAGGAGGCGGAACAGGGGAGGCTCGAGACAGGGGAGGGGCAGAGGGTTATTTGAAGAGCTTGCTTCGAGCTTGTTGATTTCTCCTTACACATCAGTTTCACATATCTTGTTGTGTTAAATTCAATAGCATACAAAAAATCATACTTCATTTGGGATATTCTGTCTTCATTTTGCTATCAATTTAGGCTGTGATCTTTTTGGGTTTTTATCTTTTGATTGTACATAATGATATTTGGTAAGGGTTTTGATTAGTGAAATCTATTTCGACAATGAAACGATTTTCGTACAGATCGAATTCAAATTGGATCGAACGTCTTTACTTTCGTACCTAACATTTATGTTCGATGTTAGACTAGATCAACGCAAAACAACTGATCGAAACACCATAATATGATGTAAGGGTATGAACGGTTCAAATTGAGAAGAGAGCAGAGCACTGAATCTAGAAGGTCCAGAAATGGCGAATGTTCTTCCTGGTGTCATCAATTGACCCAAGAAAGGGGAAGAAAAGTAATAGCAGGTTAGGAAGGAATGATTTACTTGGTTGGGTTTCCCAAATCTGCTTTGCCAAAACTGTCAAAATCAATTTGGGTTGGCAGTGGAATTTCTCTGGATTTGACCCAGAGGACCAGGATTTTGTCCGGTCAGTGGCAGAGCAAAAACGTTTAATGGTGGAAACTGCAAAGTGTTATAACAATAAAATTGCGTCTGCCGGGAGTCGAACCCGGGTCTATTGCTTGGAAGGCAATTATCCTAACCGTTGGACTACAAACGCACTTGTTGTATTTATTTTAGCCAACTTTGTTTTTAACAGCTGTTAAATAAACATTTTTTTAATAACAAACAAACAAAAAGCATGGTAAAGGAAACCGTACCGGACATCATACCGGATTCCTTTCTGGTATGGTATTTTGTGGTACGACCGTGGTTCAACCGTTTTGTACCGGTAAATACCGTTTTTCACTATTGATAGAGAAATGAAATGCGATAGTATAAAAAATATAATCCATCAAAAAAAGAACCAAATAGAGCATTATACAACCACGGTGACCCATTTTCAACATAGAAAAATAGCAAAATAATATTCTTTTTAATTATTTTCCACATATTGGACGAGAATACGGAGAAATGAAGCTGAATCATAGACCAGGAAACCGGATCATACAGGCCGGTTCAACCGGTTCAACCGGTCAAACCGAAAAAACCGGCCGGCACGGTAAAATCAGCACAATCAGCCCACCGTGCTGCTTTTGGTCCAATTTCCGGTTGAACCGGCCGGTACGATCCGGTTTCCTGGTCTATGACAAAAAGTGTTATTCCTAGGGATGGCAACAAAACCCGAACCCATGGGTACCCACCCGACCCAATCCGGTCAACGCGGGTAAAATTCGTGTTGACGGGTTTTGGGCCGGGCTTGGGTTTAAACCCGTTCACTATTCACCGGGTTGGGTTGGATTTGGGTTTAGGTAAACCCGACCCATGGGTACCCGCCCACACCCATATAATAATTTTCTTGGTATATTTACTATTCTAAACAACTAATCTTATTTATGTTTGTGGAGACATGTCTAATTTTTTCTTTCTAATTGTGTAGAATGAAGTTGATGTTATCGAGTGGAGAGCGAAGAAACTTAATTGAAAGGAAGAAGCTTTCAATTAATCATGTTATTTATGGATAATTTGTGATTTGCTTCAATTTTCTTGAGTTTTCTAGATTGGTGTTGAACAATTTGTATAGTTAATTTGTGATTTGCTTGTATTTTCTAGAATGGTGTTTTATATATGGAGAATTTGTATTGAGAGATTGATATTTGACTTTAATTTTGATAGGAACTTGTTGTAGTAAATTTTTTACGATAAAAACCCGTGGGTACCCATGAACCCGTGGATACCCAGCGGGTTGGGTTGGGTTTGAGTTTTTCAAACCCAATGGATTTTACCCCGGGTTTTTTTCACAGATAAACCCATGAGTTTGGATTTGGCAAAACCCGACCCATTGCCATCCCTAGTTATTCCCTGTCTGCTAATGGATTGAATTGAACCCACTTGCCAGGCAACCCAGTCCAGCAGCCAGCCAAAGTATTTGAATACATTTGACGCACGTGGTAAGACATATATGCAAATAAATAACCATCCAAGAAGCATAGACCACAACGACGTTTTTTTTTTCTTTCTTTCTGTATAATCTACAAGTCTACAACCAATAGCCTAGAATGTCTGCACCTCATATTAAACTGACAACAAAGTCTACTTACGTAAATGACTATACGCTTAAACAAATGGGTTACTCGGATTCAAACAAAAAAAGACTTCTCGGTTATAAAATACTCTGTCACTCTGATATCATGTGAAGAGATATTGTTCCTGATAAAACAGCGAGGAAAACCTTGAGTTTATTTCCAACTGTTTGTACCTACTAGCTCGAGGCATGGACAATAATGATTGTTGGTGTGGGGTTGACTCATGATCTGTTTGTCTGGTCCCGTCGGGAGGGAAGAAACCTGTGAAAAGTGCTGGGGTTGCCCCCCGGATTAAGCTCCGACGATCAGGTTAGTGTATGTTTGTGGAGAGAGTTGAGAGAATAGGTAGAGAGATAAAGTGTAGAGAGATAGTAGAAAGTGGGAAGTGAGGAGAGAGGAGAAGTCCCTTTCAATGGGGAGTTTCATGCCTTTAAATACTTCGTAGTGGCGTTCGTCCGGAGCACGTTACCGATTGAGCGCGTCCTTATTTAGTCCGCGCGTGGAGTATTTAGTCACACCCCCAACACCAACTAATTTCGTTTAATTGTATATTCGTCTTTGAATTCGATTGTTGTAGTTTGTGATTGGTACCTATTAATGATTAGTGAAATGCGAGTATCTTTTGGCAAAGAAACAAGAAGATAAATCGTTTATAAGGATAAACTCTATAAGTCAATAACACGTGTATTGATACATGCATCACTAACACATGTTTTTTAGAATGTAAATAATTAAGATATTAACCTAGTTTTAGCACTACAAAGCCCTGTTTGAATTACGTATTTAATCAACGGGAATATTAACGAAGTCCGCTCACTTAATCAATAAAAGCCAAAACTCGATCCATTCGAAGTGCTATATATTTCATTGATATCACAAGACTCAATAAAAAGAAGACATAAATTAACAATTGGAATTACAATTTATGTGAGTTGAACAAATACATGATATCTATATGACCTACACGACTATCATGCTCTATAAGTTTCTTATTTTGAGTGTGAAACTAAGTTAAATACACAAATGAGGTGTGCTCTTATCAAGAGTCGAATTGAATGCCGGGCATGTTGGCTCTCTTAAAAAAAGCTTGTCATATATGGGAAACAGGTATTCAAAGTTTATGTTATGGTGTGCCTTGTTTATCTATCTCTATCACGTTATAAGATATTGGAAGAAACTAAATAATTTAACCCGTTTGTGAAGTTTTGAAAAGGCAAGAAGAGAGTTTTTTCTGTCAAAAGTCTAGAGTTAACTGGTTGGGGAAAGGTGATAAGTGTACTGAATTCTTCCATCAGGCGGTGAAAATAAGGACTGCAAAGAAAGTAATTAGGAGATTGATAAATGATGGGGGAGGAGCTTACCGATATTGATCAAATTGCTGAGGAAGCTGTCAATTACTACAAGGGTTTGTTTGGTGTGGTTAATCCTAACATTCAAACTGATGCTTATTGATTCAGAAGAGGGTCCCTGCAGAGGTTGTTGCACTTTTATGTTTGCCAGTAACTACTGTTGAAGTCCGGGCAGTTATGTTTGGTTTAAATGACTAGAAGGCTCCTGGGCCAGACAATTTTTCAGCAGGGTTCTTTAAGCATACGTGGCATTTAATTGGTGAGGATGTCACTGAAGGTATTTTGGACTTCTTTTCTCAAGGTAGACTACTTAGTGGCATTAATGCAACTGCAGTGTCTTTGTGCCCTAAAATTCCTAGTGCCGATATATTAAAAGACTTTCGTCCTATATCGTGTGAATGTTTTATACAAGTGTGTCTCAAAAATATTAGCAGATAGATTGAAGTTAGTAATGCCTCATATTATTAGCTTGAATCAGACGACATTTATTAAAGGTAGACGCATTGTGGATAACATTCTGCTTGCGCAAGAATTGGTCAGTGGTTATGGTAATAAGAAGCTCTCTACTAGGTGTGTAGTGAAAGTTGACTTAATGAAAGCATTTGACTCGGTGCATTGGGATTATCTGTTTAAGGTCATGGGCATTATGGGGTTCCCTGATCTGTACATAAAGTGGATTCGAATTTGCCTATCTACTGCTCACTTTAGTATCAGTTTGAATGGTGGGCTATGTGGGTTCTTTAAAGCACGCAAAGGAGTTCGGCAAGGGGATCCCTTGTCCCCATACTTGTTATGTACAACTATGGAGGGGTTATTTGGGTTATTAAATCGAGCAGCAATGCAGAATCACTTGCTTTATCATCCTCTGTGTAAGAAGATTGCTCTAAATCATCTGTGCTTTGCAGATGATTTACTTATCTTCTCTACAGGCTCAGGGAAATACTTATTGAAGATCAAAGACTTATTGAATGAGTTCTATCGATTTTCCGTGCTGAAGTGCATTCTAGAGAAGTGTGAGGTGTACTTAGGCGGTGAATGTGTGCAATATAAGGCAGTTGCTCTTGTTGTATCTGGCTTCAAGGAGGGTTCTCTGCCTGTTAGGTATCTCAGACTTCCTTTGCTTTCTGGTAAGCTGAGGGATTCAGACTGTGAGGTGTTGCTTGAGAAGCTAACCAAGAAAATCATATCGTGGCGTGCAAAGAAGATGACTTATGCAGGCAGGATACAATTAGTTGCTTCTGTATTAATGGGGGTGATTCAATATTGGCTTCAACTATTCTTGTTCGCTAAAGAGTTTCTTCGAAAGCTACAGAAGGTCTGTTCGGATTTCTTGTGGCATGGAGAGGAATCTGGAAGGGCAAAGGTGGTGTGGGAAAGGATATCTCGACCGAAGAAGGAAGGGGGACTGGGCGTACGTGATTTGTTTACATGGAACAGAGCATGCACTGATAGGATGCTCTGGCTCCTCATGATGCGCTCAGGAGCCCTAATGGTGGCTTGGATGCTGGCATACAGGTGCAGGGGGAGAGACTTTTGGACTATGGCGGTTACGGATCTAGTTCTTGGACTCGGCGTAGAATTCTGAAGCTTCGACCTTGGTTGGACGCAGAAGCTCCAACCATCCAACGTCTCAGTTTGTTATTGGTGGATTCACCTTTCTTTTTTCTTAATATCTAATTATGCTAAATAAATTAAGAATTAAAATATAAAAAACTGATGAAATTACCAATTGAAAACTGACATGTGACTGGTTGAAGTTTCTACGATCCAACCAAGATTGGAGCTAAGAATTTCCCACGTACACCTGCCGCATGGGACTGCCCCGCAGTAGTCGCAGTAGTCAGGAAGCCCAATCTAGCAGGCAGCCATAATCAACTAAGGAAAACGAAATTAGAAGAACAAACAGAAGAGTCAACATATTTTAAAACATTTGACACATGTGGTAAGACGAGCACTTCTACTATGCTATATAGTATTAGTGCTTTAATGTACAACTTGAAGTTGTACCATAACATTAAATGTATAAGTTTATGCCCTGTTCACTTCCCATTTTGTTTTCTGTTTTGTGTTGTGAAAATGAAAATGATCAAACAAATGACAAAAAAACGTGTTCATTTGTAATTTTGTTTTCTTGAAGAAATCCATTTGCTACAAATTAAGTAGCTGGGGAAAAACAATAAATTCTCGTTTCCTGGAAACAATGGGACGGGTTATCCCCTATTTCCTAGCGGAAAATCGTTACTATTCATTAATGAGGTCCGGCGTTCGAAACCCCCTGCTGTATTTTTTTTTGGTTTTGCTCCGCTCCTTGCCATTGCAACCCTAGACTACGAATTTCATCCTCTCCCCCTCCCTCTCCCTCAGACCACGAGCGACCGCCATTGTCTCCCTATCCCTCCAGCAGCCCCCGTCTCTCATCTTCATTTCCCTCTACCCCCAGACCACTAGCAGCCGGCGAAGACAAGCAGCAGCAACGAATCGTTCCCTCGTCCAGCCTCTCTCTCCTCCAGCCGGCGTACATCAAGTAGTATTGACGAAGCGGTCCAGCCTCACTCTCCCACTCCGTCCGGCGAAAATCAAGCAGAATTGACGAATCGTTCCACCCGGCGAGTCGAGCTCCACCTGTCGAAGGTCTAGCCGCCGAATAGAGTTCCACCCAAAGAAGTTCCAGCCGGCGAGTCGAGCACTTTACAGGGTGAACTGTTTGTGAGCAATTGTTACCCAACCCTTGTTTTAATCAAAATCTTGTTTTATGTGTCTGTTGATTTTGACTGTGTTTTCGATGGGTCATTGAGAATTGAGATTCTGCAGTTGTTGCATCTGTTAGAAATCATCCGCCTCTCACCATGGAATTTACAACAACCCATATGACTACTTGTTTGTTATTTGATCTTACTTCTCTTTCTCATTCCTTTCATGAACTCCCTTCTTTCTTCTAATTTCTATTGTTCTCCTGATTTATTTCAACGAGTTGTAAATGTGTGGGGTGGAAAGTGGCAGATGAATTTTGTTTATTGTATCTAATCGATTAGGGTTGTATGATACTCAATAAACAAAATTAGGGTTGTATGATACTCAATAAACAAAATTGTAGTAATCAGTTATCAGAAAACAGTATGAAACAACTAAACAGGTTTTCATTTTTAGAAATCATTTTAGAACTCACCAAAATTCTCAGCTAAACAAGGTTTCTTCAGGTTTTGTTTTTCAGGAAATGACAGTTTCGTTTTCATTTTAATTTTGTTTTCTATTGTGGCAGCTAACAGAAATGGAATGGCAAGTAAACGGCCCATTAGGTTGTACCATAAAACAATTTCTACCATTATGTTATGGTACAACTTTACAACTTTAAGTTGTACCATAAAGGCAAAAACCTATAGTATAGGTACAATCTGAAATTGTACCATAACATAAATGTACAATTTTAAGTTGTACCATAAAGGCAAAAACCTATAGCACCAATACTATATAGCATTGTAAAATTTCTCGTGGTAAGAAATGTGCAAATATATATTAACCATATCCCATAGCCATAAGCATAGACCACAACCCTTAATGACGTTGTTTTTCTTTCTAATAGACTTGGGCAACCAAGAGCCTAGCTGCCTGCTCCTCACGTTAAACTAGCAACGAAATCTATGTACGTAAATGATGGTAGGTGTTATCTCAACCGTTTTAACCACCAGTACTACATGATCAACTCCTAAACTAAGTTTCACGAGGAACGAAAAACAATAAACTCTCTGTAATTTTCTCAATTATGTTCTCATCGCCAACACAATTTTAGTTGAACAGTTGTGGTGAGACTTTGATGCATTGTTCACACCAGAAGACTACCTCAATAGCAAACTATCCAATCAATCTAAGGTTATGCTAATTTAGGAAGAATATTGGAAAATAACAACTCTGTGCTAAGTTACGGAGAAGGTGATGCTCATTTGGGTTTTGAACGTAACAAAGGTTAGAGCTCGTGACACATGGGACGGACTTGGGGTTACAGTGTAATTCGTGGGTTAGGATGAGAATAAAATCGCCTCATAAAGTAACGAGGAAATCTCTTTTTAGTTTATTCTCAACAGATTTTGTTCATTTTGATTGTTCTTGGATTCCATCGTTGTAGTTTGTGGTTGGATATCTATAATACTAAACTCTATCTATTGATAACGGTATGAAGTAAATAACTGAATAGGTGTGTATTGAATATTGATACATCCATCACTAACCCATGTTTTTTTTTGAAAATTAAACAATTAAGGACTAATTCCACTAGGAAGCTCAAACTATACTAAAAGTGTCATTTGTGTCCCGAATTATTCAATATGATAAATCTGGCACAAACTATATGCATTTCGTGACATTTGTGCCCTAAACTTATTCAATATGACAAATCTGGCACAAACCACATGGATTCTGACTAGATTTTCTGATAAATACTATCGGTCTACGCCGATCAACATTAACAAAAAAATAATTTGTGTCAGATTTGTCATATCGAATAGTTTAGGACACAAATAACACTTTTTGAATAGTTTGGCCTTTCTGGTAGAATTAAGCCAACAATTAACCTAGTTTTGACACTACACATTCCTGTTTGGATTACATATTTAATCAATGAAAGTATTTTAACTTAATCAATAAGAAAACAAAACTCAATCCATCCACTGCACTATATATACATTTCTTTGATATCACAAGACTCAATAAAAAGAAGACATAAATTAACAGTAGATTTGACAATTTTTTGTGAGTTGAACATATACATGATTTCTATATGAGCTACACGACTAACATGCTCTATATGTTACTTATTTTGTGTGTGAAAGTGAGTTAGATGGACAAGTGAAGTGTGTCGTCTCTACTCATGAGTCTTGGAATGAATGCGGGCATGTTCACTCTCTTTAAAAAGCTTGTCATATGTGGAAACAAGTATTCAAAGTTTATGTATGGTCTGCCTTATTTGTCTATCTTTATCCGGTTATAAGATATTGGAAGAAACTAAGTAATTTAACTCATTTGTGATTTCTAAAATGGGGCTCCCCTAGTATTTATAACTTTGTTGAAAGAGTTTGGAGAATCATAATGAATAAATTTTAAAGTGGTCATAACAATCTATAGTGGCTGGTTCGCACGACACCATAGAGGGTCTGTCCCACCATAGCCTTATCTTCTCGTGTGATCTATTACAAAAATGTAGCTGGTTTCTGGCCGAAATCACTCTAATATTACAAAGATGGTTTCACTTTGTCGTGTTATTTCTTTACCCTATTCTCAAAATTTGGCGATTTGTGCTTCATTTCCTCTTGATCCATGATGGATAGACCCAAGAGCCTAGTTAGTCCTTTTTGGATATTTTCGAAAAAAAAGGGAACAATGACGCGAGACAGAGGAGTTACTCTTTTCACAACGATAAGTGATGATTCAATGACTTATTGGTATTATATCATATTCTCTCTTCTCTTATTTTCTCTTTATTTTCATATCTTATGCTGATTGCTGAGGAGTATACACACTTGTTCTTTCTGATTTGTTCTTTTTTTATTTTGTTTTTTGCTTTGTGTCTAAACAATGTGTGTTAGTCATTCAAACACTTCCGAACGGTTTTCGTCTACAAGATAATATGTTCTTTCTATTACCTTCTTTCTTGTTCTAGTCCGTTGAGGGCAACACCCCATTTAAAGTGTAAGGTGAGGTTTGCTTGTTTATTTGAATAACTAAATGGTGCATCATTCACCAATTAGTCTATTTGAGTAATTAAAGATGCACCATCTCATTGAAGTTTATGATTGCTCAACTTGGTTTAATTGCTAGATCTCATGGTTGCATTTAGCCTAGTGAGGATGAGGAATTTTACAATGCTATATAGTATTGGTGTTATAGGTTTTTGTCTTTATGATACAACTTCAAGTTGTACCTTTAACGTTATGGTACAACTTCAAATTGTACCTATACTGTTTTGTACAAATTCTTTTATGGTATAACTTGAACTTGTACTTTTATGTGATGGTACAACTTCAAGTTGTGAAGTTGTACCATAACATAAGGATACAAATTCTGTTATAAAATGCGCTGCTACGGATCGGGAAATCGCCCGAATCGACAAAGCAAGAATACGAAAGCGAGAATCGAAAACACGACACACGATTTACGTGGTTGACTAACACGATGTGTGTTCTACGTCCACGGGCGAGAGAGAGCCGATTTCACTATATCGAGGAGATTACAGATTACAGATGAGTATGAGAAGTATTTATAGTACTTCTCGATGTGGGTCTAAACCTAATCCAATCTGGCAAAGGAAACGGTTACAGACCAGGCTCAGAACCCGAACCCAAATAACATTGAGCCCATACACCGCGGGCTGGGGGCGTTGCCCCCGCACCCCCACCGGGGCGTTGCCCCTGGACCCCACTCGCTGACCGGGCAGCGAGACCCCCAATTACCAATCGTGGCGGCTGATAGTCTGATTCAAGTCACATTAACAAATTCTTTTATGGTACAACCTAAACTTATACATTTTACATTATTATTTCTTTGAGCGCTAAAATAAAAATATTAGTAATTAAATAACTTATCGATAAACCAAAATAAATTTTGCACATGAATAAATTGGCATAAGACACCGATTGAGAATTATACTCATATTTTCAACATATTCTACGCTTCAATTGAGTTCGGACAAAGAAGCCAACAAATTATCCAACAAATCGCTCCCAATGAGCTCCTCAAGACCTTCAATCTCAACTCCAAACTTCCCTTCCACCTCTCCGGCCACTCTCTTCAGCGCCGGCGGCTCGATCCCCATCGAATCACCGCCGCCCAATTCCCATTCCCTCGCAACCCTCTTCCTCCTCCGCCGCCGCCGCCGCAAATCTTCCCCTTCAGAATCACAACCGGCCGTCCGGCAGCAATCACCGACCAAGCCCGAAACCAATTCTCCGGGGAAATTAAGACTCGCCTTGGCTCCCCTGATCCTCAGAGCCGCCCTGTCATAAGCCCGGGCCGCTTCCTCCGCCGTCTCAAACGTTCCCAGCCATACCCTAGCGCCGCCGTTCTCCGCCGTCGAGTCCCTTATCTCCGCCGCGTACTTCCCCCATGGCCGCCTCCTCACTCCCCTGTAACGCCTGCACGACGTCGTTTTAGTCGATTTGCCGGCTTGGTGATCGTCGAAGGTTCCAGAGGTAATGTTGCTCGAAGAGGGCAATTGGGTATTTTCAGATGGAGGAATGAGGAATTGGGTTCGAAGGATTTCGTCCCAGGCCTCTTCCCCCATTGATATCCATCTCCCCAAGCTCGGCAGCCTTTCCAGCCCATTGTTATTGTTTCCCATTGTTGGTCCTCTGTTTACCATGTTTTCATCTGCGGCAGAGGAAAACTGCGATTCGTAGTCTCCAGATTGTTTCGTTCCTCCATTGATGAAGCTTGCCCACACATTCTCCAGCATTTCCATGATGTAGTTGATTGTTATTGAAGATCCAATCAAGGTTTAGGAAGAGAGAATTATGAGATTACATGGGGATGTAGGGGTATATATATGAAACGTTTGGCGTTTAGTTGTGGGATTATTATAATTATTGACAGCTAATCCATGGATTGCTTGTCCATGAATATATACTCCATTCATTGGAAATGCCCACTCGGAAACTTGGGGTTTAGTGATAATCCTGCTGATAATCATGCTGAAAGTTAGTTACCCGCCAGAGTTTTTGAGTGTTTTAAAAGGGTTGACTTGTGTGTTATAAGCTTTGTACGTTTGACTTTTCAGATGTTCTTGATCATCATGATTTAAGGGAGGGTAGATGCTCTGAATTGCTTTGTTCTGACTGGCTTAACATGGAAAGTCAGGATCAATGTTGGAAATTTGAAGATTTTTTGAAGTTATTCTTTTCAGACGGAGCAAGAATGGTTGAGGCAATTGAGACAACAAAAAAAAAAAAAAAAAAAAAAAACTATAGTGGAGGCTATATGGGAAAACTCTATGGTAATTTTATATAAAAAGTGTGGTTTAATTGTGATTCAGCATTTTCATACCACTAAAATGTCTATTAGTTTGGGGCTCTGTACTCGGTATTTCCAATCCAACCAGGAGATAGGGTATGATTTATACTTTTTTTTTTAGATTTGGGTAGCCACAAGATGCAGGTTGGGCCAAATCAGCTGATTCAGGTATACGTAACTTTGAAAAAGAAAAAACTTTAAGAAGACAGTGACACTATTTTATACCAACTCAAATAAGTTGGTAAATAGGTAAAATCGGAATTGTCATCCCTATACATAAAAAAAGAAAATTTGTAACAACAAGTAGTGCAACTGAGTCATTGTGGTTTGGGGAACCACAACTTTTTGTCAAGCGGAATAATCATCACCGATTACGAATCCTGACGAGTTGGGTCAACGAAGATTAATGAGTCACATGACGGGTCGAATCATTATGGATCAGCACCGAAATTTCACGAACTCCTTCAGTTGACGGAGGTCACAACGAGCATCATCATCAAGTGCAATACGCATAAAAATCGAGTAGCGGCACTCGCGGAGCTAGGAGGAGAGTTTGGACCCCATTTTGGAAAAATGAATACACATTAAAACTATCAATTTTTCAAAGTGAAATCAAACACATTTTTTGAACCATGAACTCTTTTTGTTACTAAACCAAGAACTTTATTATTAGAATCCACATTGCATTTGATTATATTTGGATCCTACTAAACTATATTCTTGATCATGCAAATAGTAGCGGATTTCCTATCAAGTTAACCGGTTGTTGAATTGTAAAAATTGCAATTTCATTCGGAGACCTTGAAAGTGGGCTGGTACTTGGGAAGATTGTGTAGCAATGAAAAAAGGTAGGGATGGCAAATATATCCGTAACCGTGGATATCCGCCTGAATCCGACCTTGTTGGGTATGGTAAATCCGAACCCGAACGATTTTTAGCGGGTATGGGTAAAACCCGAACCCGAATATTGTGGGTAATGGGTGGGCATGGTTTTCTCACTATCCAACCTGAACCCGCCCGATATACACATGCATATACATTTTTTCTAGAAAAATAATCATTTTTCTCTAACATATTTTATATTTAGCATATAAATATAATTTTTTCATGAAATTGTGTTGTTTTAATAAATTTTCTGCATACTAGTGAACTTTTGCCATAATTTTTGTGTTACGTAATGCAAGAATACATGTAAATATTAACATATTGGTTGGAGTTATAAGGAGAAACTATTATCCATGGATAACCGTGGATACCCGAAACCCGAACGGGTATCGGTATGGTTTTGATTTTCTACCCGTTTCTTATGTGGGTATGGGTATGGGTAAAACCCGAACTAATTTGGGTAGGGTAATGGATATGCAATATCCGCCCCGACCCGACCCATTGCCATCCTAAAAAAAAGGGCAGTGTGAAATGGATTACGCGAAATGCCCACAACAAGATAAGAAAATATATAACCATTAATGGGTGCACGGTTGAAGATCTTTGTTCTTTCTCCATTCGTGGGTTTGGCAGCTGGGGGCAAGCAGCTGAAGTAGAAACCAGGCCAAACCTGTGAACACAGGGGCCCTTTCCAGCGCAGAAAGCCATTGCTTTTTGCTTAAGCTTGGGATATACAGTTGATCAAGAGAAGAAAAAAATAATGTTGATTATTTAAGGTTTAAGAGTATAAATTACTCGTGGGCAGTCGAATTGAATTTCAAAGCACAATGGTTTTGATTGATGCATTGATTCAATGCATTCCATAGGATTGGATCTTTGTCTATTGCGCCAAGCAACGGCAATTAGCCGCGTCCCCAAATGTTATCCCAAAGCATATTGGTGGTATTTTGGTCGTTTTTGAGTTTTTTCCGGTAAGGCATTGGTAATTGATCGAAATGGTTTACGTAAATTTGGCCTAATAATAAAACGGAATCAAGAGATTAAAATATAACAAAATGTCGCACAAGTATTAATTAAGATATAAGATAACAACGATTTCATGTCATTTCATTCATATTTTAATCTAAAATGATCAATTAGCTTGCTCTCTATAAGAGGTAATTTTACAAGTTGGTTAGCTGTTTGATAGTTTGTTATTGATTTTGCATTGTGTCAATAAACTAATTTTTTCTTTATTATTTTGAATGAAAATATGGCTAAAAATAGATGAAATTATTTTTTTTGGTTATATCATGATACATATGTGACCATTTTGCTACACTTTAAATTTTTGTGACCATTTTACTACTGGCACAACCTATTACATATGTAATCATTTTGATTAATTACCAAGATACTTTTATACTCATAAACTCTTATGATTAAGTGCAATTATTTATATAAATTGAGAGGAAAAGCATTGTGCTTTGATTAAAGAAAAAGATTTTTATGGGTACAATACTTCAATTTCAACACAGAAAATTTCCACATATACATGTAATTAGTTTGAGGGCCCTAAAGGACTAACTTCTGACTATCAATTTGGTTCCATGATCCATCAGTTAGATAATGGGCCGGCCTACAAGAGAGATGTCCGACTGTACTTAGTTAGAGGGCACTAGAAGGCCCAATAAACCTTTTTTTTTGGTCCAGGGCCCAATAAACTTCAAGACCAAGCAAGCAGGGCAAAAAGGCATTCAATGGCAAGGCAGGTTGCTAAATGAAACTTTTAGGACTTTACTTTTGAATCGCAGAACAACGGAGAGTAGTTTCCCGGGAACAATGGAAGTCGCCGTCGGCAAAAGAAAGGGCGGCAATAGAATCGTCGAAGAGAACATCCTAGCTATCTTGGACTCCGACGACCGAAAGGATACCCGAGAGAACAACGATAACAGTACGACCATCTCACCTCCTTCTTTCTCTCTGTTTGTTTCTATAGAAAATACATCAGTACTTTAGCCTTTTCCCCTCTCCTTTTCCCGTTTCGCGATTTTCGCTTCTGCTTCACTATTTTCTCTACCAGAGGTTCACTTCGACGCCTGGTTTCTGTAATTCAGGGAGTGCTTTTCTCGAAGCTGTTCGCTCCGCTTGTCTGGCTCCAGTCAATGGAAGCCCTCCAACCATGTAAGCAAAACTTGCCCTTTGTAGTTGTTGGAAAACCAAAGCTCAGGTTGGAACTCCGTTCGGAATTGAATGTTTAGGGTTTCACTGTATCGATTGTGTAATTGGTTTTGTGAAGGAAAATGTGCGAGGCGGTGTTCAAAATTCTGAGAGCTGGGAAACACCTAGATTTGATTATGGGAAGTTTTTGGCTACTGAGAGAGCTTGATAAGGTATAATATGTGTGATTTGTCTCCTTCGTTCTTTTAGATGTTTGTAACTTTGTGTTCATATGAAAGTCTGTCTAACTTGTTCCTTTTTTTGGGCAATGCGGGTAGCGTTTTCCTAGGATGAGTGTGTCGGATGCAAGCGAATCGAAGGAACCTCAGTTCGTGATGTCTGAAGAGGTTTGAGTTCCTTTTCTTGTGTTACTTCTGGCTGTTCAATTCTATATACAGTGATGAATTGATGATAATGAACTTCACTGCTTTTTTGTTAGGCTTGGTGTCCATTCGTTCTCAATTTGGATGCTAGCCACCAAAGTAAGGAAGCAGTAAACAAAAGCAACGACAGACCCCTTGATTCACTGGTGAGTGATGATTGTCATTTTTTTATTATAAAAATGGTATGTCTTTCAGATTTCATTCTGGCTTAGTGTCGGTTTGGTTGTTGTTTCACTTTTAGGGTTTTCATCTTTTAATACAAGAACTGGTTGAGTTCGCAAATAAGATTCAGTCACCAGAGACAAAGGTTCGTTTGTCAACTTGTACTTCTCTTCGGTGTATACGATGAACAAAACTGCTAAATTCAGTACGTCCTTTGATATTGTGCAGTCGCTTAGCAACTTGCTGCTGTTTCAATACCTTGTGGATGTTCTTGAAGGAGATTTTATGATGCGAAATAAGTTGTTTGAAGGTTAGTTCACCACTTGTTGTTCTTCTGTTTCACTTTATGTGAATTTGGATATCCTGACTAATTGTCTGGTACTATATTGCAGAGACATTGAACTGGATTCATTTGAGAGAGTCATTGCTAAATCTCCTTTTGGTATGCAACTGTGGGGAATCTTTTGATAGATGTTACTATGAGAAGTAAAAACAGTTTTTTACAAGAGTGTTGGCTCTGCAGAATTCAAGGAAGATACAGTACAAAAACTTCATAAGGCATTGCTTGATTCTCTTATGTGGACTGTCTCATCCTTCTGCTGAATCGAGAGTTGATGTTGACATGAATGACGATGTATTAGAATCAGATAGCCGTGGTGCTGTAGGTATTGCTTCGGCAGAAGTAAGACATAATACTTGCACCGCACTGCAGAAACTTCTTGTAGCGGTAAAACATTAAATTCTACTTGTCACCTAAATTATTTTAAAGATTCCTTCACTTGTGACTACGATGGTGATAACTGCTTTCTCCTCCAAGATTATGGAGCTTGATGTATCAAGGAAGAAAGCAGATGCACAAGGTTCTACCACTAGAGCTGATGGTGCGAGGTATCTTTTGATGTTCTCGTATGTTTGCATTAGAGGGCTTTATCAATTATAATGGTTAATTGTGTTGATTGAATGCAGGACACCTTTACTTGAGCTAGTTCTGGATGAGGTAATCTATGACAGTGACATGCTATCCCCTTTTCTTCAGGTAATCCCTGACGCATGTTTTCGTCCTGTACTTGTCTTCGTAAGAGGATCTTTTGTGTTTCCTACCTTGTGCTTTCTTTGAGTTGGTATCAATAGCTTCTCTTACCTAATAACTTGCAGGGATTTGATGAACCGAAATGGAAGACTGAATTGATCTTGCAATACTTTATGAAATATGCTGCTAAGGTCAGTGAGGTTTCTTTAGTGAATCCTTCCCCTTCGAGTGCCCTCATATTCTGAACTAGATGCTTGTGCTTTATATAGCCTACAGTTCGCACTCGGAGGTCAAATACTCCTTCAGAAGATCTCACCATCAGTGGAACCTTAAAAGGCTTTTCAAACATTACCACCTCTAAAAGCATCGCGAAAAAGATTGGCTCAGATATTGTTCAAGTCCTCATAGCCCATGGTTTTCAGGTGATTCCAGAATGGTGTCTTGATATACCATGTATTCACAAGCTATAATGAATCAAATGCATCCCAGTGATCAAGTGTCGTAAACCTTCAGTATTTGTGCAGTAGTAGCAGTGTTGTGTCAGGTGTCCTCATTCAAGTTTGTCAACATTAGAATTAACTGTTGTTTTTCATTTGCCTTCTCCTACCTTCTGTAGGCGCATTTGTCCCTTTGCTCTTCCAAACAAGATGGTGACGGGGTCGCCTCTCCTGCAGAAATGTGTGAGGATGTAATCACAGCATTCACCAACTTAAAAACTGCAAATCAGTAAGACTCGCACTTGCTCCGATTTTGAGTCTTCGTCTCCATTTTCCGAAATATTGACTCGACACTGATGCGAAATGCGATGTTTCAGGCAGCTTGAGATCCTACCAATTGGAAAAGAAGCACTGTTTACAGCAGCAATGATCCTGTCAACGAAGTCGTAGAATTCACTCTTTTGCCAGTGCTGGTAGTTCTTCTGTTTACTCTTTTCTTTGCCTCGGGCTTTCTCTTTGTACTGATTCATACTCTTCGCCTACGATATGCATATTGCTTCTTTTGATTTGAGCCAATTGGCAAGAGTTGGAACCCTGTATGTAATTAGCAGTATGCAGCCTTTGTATGATAACAAATTATTATAGCCTGCAGTTTCAGTTACAACTAGTTATACGACAGGGTAAGATTTTAAACAAACAACCTTCAACTTAATCATTTCTTCGATAAGGTGCGCCGAAACAAGGAATACTATGCGCCACAATCGATCATCAGACTGTCTCCTGGTAATCAAGCCGACAGAGCGGGCACGTCGGCAGAGAGGTCGGCAACCGCCGGCTGCATTCCGCCATCCAATCCCGAATGCAGATTTGATGGAACATGTGGCTGCAGCGAGGGAGAACGGACACCACGTCGGTCTCCACGAACTCTTCCAGGCAGACCGAGCACTGATCACCTGCACCCGAAATCTTGCTAGCTTCCTGAAAGCTCGACTGCGGCAGTGTGGGCAGCTGTATCTCTTCTACCTCTGCTGCATGCTGTTTCTTCAGGAAGTATCGAACGAGAGAGTAAAAAACCACGGCGACACAACAAATCGCGACGGCTCCCAGGACAGTCTGGATCGTGGTCTGTCCTGCAGGCTGGGGAGCGCCCCATTCCCCGAGTACCGAACTGTCGGACATTGGTGTGTGGTGGAGTTGAAGCTGGCCAGCTAGTGAGGGGTGTGTCTGAAATGAAGTTCTGCATATATATAAATATGATTTCAGGGTTGTTTGTATCTAAATTATAGCTAGTCTACGAAGGAAAGTAAAGGGGGAAGAGGAAGCAATGCTTAGGTGAAGAGTGACAACAAAATTTGCCCGTTTCACGTCTCCCTCCCTCGCGATTGTACACACTGCAGACGCAACGGGAGAATGATCAGATGGGCGCCGAACTAAATTAAGAAAAGTCAATTCAGAGATGAAGAAGTACTGATAACATATTTTTGGGTACCGTAAAATTAAAGTTAACCGGTGGTAAGATCAACGGATTGGATAATAGAATCACTAAACTAAACTGGTTACAAGGGTGGTTTGGTTCATTTGATTATACAGTTATGAATGAACGGAATGGTTTTTAACGTTTGACATGAAACCAGATGAACCACCTCGATTTGATTGGTCCATTAATTCACTATTTTAATCACAAAAAATAAAAACTTAAATTAAGATCGTCCAACCTCAATTACTAATTTTACTTATGCTTCCTTTTCTTTATTTCTCAGTTTACTTGTCGTCCTTCTATGGTCCACTACGAATGTCCACCCTCATTACTAACTTGAATTTAATTACAAAGTTATGATTTTTTTGTGAGATAGTTTGAATACTTTGTTAGAACGTTTTGGTGATAGATTATATGGATTTGAAAATTTTCACGGTGGTGATAAATTTATTCATAAAGTAGTGATATATGTATTTTATGCTATAACGCATGAATGATTCTATCAACAATTAACCAACGGTTCTATAATGGTTAATCGTTGAACCATTAATCACTAAAATTTTGGGTTTAGCATCATTCTTGTTCTGAAAAGGGTGAATTTAACGGAACAAAAATCTTTTTTGTTTTTAGGTGAAACTGTATAAAAAAATTTATATAAAGAATCATATTAATCTGACTATTCAAAATGATGTTCACTTCTATATGTTTTGGAACAAACATATATTATCAGTTTATATTAGGGTGGTAATGCTTGCTAGCATATAAGATTACATTATAATGGTATGAATATATCATAGTGTAGAATTATTGTATACATGTTACTATGATCTATGAATATACTAATTACCATTATCACTATTCACAATCGTCTACCAACAACTACTACCCTATACTAGGGTGGTATATTTGGTCCTGAAATATATATTTTCAAGAAATTTTTAGACAACATTGAATCATGAAGAACTTGTTCCTTCCATCCAAAATTTTGAAATTGTAAGTTAAAAAGAAAGATGATACCAAATAATAACACGGTGATAACGAGTACTAATGAGTAGTACTAACTCAAAATCCTGACTTCTCCTCTTGCTTTACCATATCATGTCTGATTCAGGAATTTTTCCAGAAACATCATTGTTTAATTTTTTTTAAAAAAAATAGCACTCAACCCCGAAAAATTCCAAAAATAGTACCCTTTCCCAAAAACCACCACTCGAACCAGCAGTTTAGGCGAAATCGCCGCCCGGGGCGCGTTTTTCAATGAAAACCGCTCTAGTAGGGGGCGGTTTTGCAAACCGCATGGGCCATGGCGGTTTGGTTGCAAACAGCACCCCACCATGCGGTTTTGGTCTCCTTTTTTTTTTTTTTTTTGAAAAATCCTAACCTAGGTGAAAACTTCAAACGAACGTATCTTTGTGTTCGGGTATTCGATCGTCATGAATTTTTTTTATTCTGCATAACTTTTCGAAATCTTACAAGTCGAAGACTTCTAAAGGTGGTTTGGTCCCGCCTTCTTCCAGAAAAAATGTTGTTTGCTACCCAGAACGAGTTTTTTTTCGATTTCGTCAAACTTTGGACAACCATAACTTTGTGCTCCAAAATCCAAACGACATGAATTTTTTTTATTTCGCATAACTTTTTAAAGAATGCAACTTTTATCATAGACATAATTTCAAAATGTACGTGGATTGCTGAAAAGGGAAGGTAAGCTATTCCCAAAATCCTGTATATCCAAAAATAATTCCTGTTTTGAAAAATTCATTCCTAGTAAAAATTGTTGTCCTTAAAAAGTTATGCGAAATGAAAAAAAAATTCATGACGTTCGGATTTTGGAGCACAAAGTTATGGTTGTTTAAAGTTATTGAGGATTGTTGGGGGCCATAAGAAGGTCCAAAGGAGAGGCCCGACCAAGCAAAGGCAGAAAGGGGGAAAAGCCCACGAATGGAGCCCAAGTGCGGGAAAGGGGCAGGCAACAAGGAAGAGGCCCAACCCAATTATGGCTGGGGACAAAGACTGACGAAGTGGGACCGGCTTCTGGTGCGGGGCGCATGGCGACAAAGGGGGCATAATGGCTAGAAATGTACTGAGGGTGCAGGGGATGAGGTCATGCCTGCCAAAAGCGTACGGAGGGCGTAGGAAAGCAGGATGGGCTCCCTGGATCTCTGTGCACTGTGTCAGACGGTCGAGGCGCCTGTCAAAAAGGGAAGTACGAAGCATTAATTGTGGTGATGACGTAGGGCGGATTTGGGGGCACCGGTCGGCCTTCCTCGAGGTATAAATAGCCAAGTAGGTGAACCTCATTTACTCAGGTTGGGTTCTCTCACTAAAACTTCATTCTACTTCTCTCTCTAAAAAAGGAGTGCTAACTTGATCGTCGGAGTGCTAACGGACTAGTAAGGTTCGCTGGGCGCCTCTTGTGTAGGTGTGAGGACTTGGAGCAAATCAGAAGCGAGCAAGGCGCATACGCGCTGGGAAGGGAAAGTAACTCGGCTCAAACAAGGATTTTTAGTTTTCAAGGAGTAAAACTTTGTCAATATATTATTGTTTCAAAAGAATAGTTGTAGTTGAGTGGTGTAGATGTTGTGCTAAATTTAGTAAACTATTTATTATCTGTGTTCAAACCACCACTCTCACAACATGTTGCTTTTTTCAATCTCTAAAAAATAAAAAAAATTCAAATGGGATGGTGGGGATTCGAACTTAGGACTTCTTGCACACAATAAACAACTAAACTAGTTATGCCAAGACCACTTTTGACATTTATTTTGAAGAAAAATATATATATATATATATATATATTACAAACCGCATGGTGGGGGTGCGGTTTGCAACCAAACCGCCCCCGCCCCATGCGGTTTGCAAAACCGCACCCTACCCGTGCGGTTTTATCGAAAAATGCTCCCCCGGGTGGCGGTTTTTTCCTAAACCGCTATTTCGGGTGACGGTTTTTGAGAAAGGGCGCTATTTTTAGAATATTTCGGGATTGGGTGCTATTTTTGGGTGAGAAATATAAACAGTGCTATTTCTGAAAAAAAATCCCTCTGATCAGGCACTTTCTTGTTTCGTACTAATGGGTTGAACCTTCTGTGGAGGTAATGAGCCCAAATTTATGATCAACTAGGCGCTTGCAATCACAAACAGACTTGGGCTCTTCGGAAGGCCACCGATGATCAAGTTATTCCGATGCGACGAGCCTTTTAAAAAGATAAGTGTAGCGTTTGATAGACAAAAATCAACCTTTTTGAACGTGGTCACATTCCCACTATTCATTCTTGGAGAGACTTCAAAAAGAGTTTATAAATTTATTGATCTCAATCACCACATTTAATGCTACGTAATTACCCTCGCTTCGGAATGGCAATGGGTCGGGTGGAGACCATATAACGCATGTCTTTTACCCCATTTGATATAGTTCGTGTTTTATTCATATCCATACCAATACAAGAATCAGGTAGAATATCAAATCATACATACCCGATCAGGTTTCGTGTATCCACGATTATTCATGAATAACAATTTATTTTTGAAACTTCAACCAACATATTAACAATTGCATATATACACTTACACTACATAAGTGAAAAAGTACACAAATAAACTACTAGAACAAAGAAAATGAGTTAAAAACAACAAGGTGTCATCAAAATATTATATATGTATGATAAATTTAGATATGTTAAGAAAATAATGACGATTTTATAAAAACATACATATGCATCTGTATGATTGACACAGATTCAAATTGAATAGTGAGAACCATATTCACCCATAACTCGTTACTTCCTTGGTTGTTAGCTTTGCCTTTCACTTAATTATCCTGACTTTTTCTGGAGACCTAAGTAAAGGCGATGAGTATTGGTTGGATAATGACTAGTCGAAAATCCGATGGAAGACCAAAGGAACGCAGTGAGGAGAAGAGTTAAGACTGATTCTTCTGTCTTTGTCCTATAGTTGCTTAAGAACCACCCCCTACCAGCTACTTGTCGTTAGTGTAATTCTAATGCCCTATCCCCTCTCTCTTCTCCCGGAACCGCGGGTTAACCCTAAGCCGAATGAACTCCTAAGCCCAATTCACCCGGTTGAACCAGCTCAATCCTGTCTAACCACATCTAGTCTAACCACCAAATCCGGTGTAACCACCAGTAGAATACCAACGAATATCCTATCATTATCTCCTAAGCCCCGGTCTAACCCTAAGACGAATTCTCTACGGATACCCTACTAAGCCGAATACCCATCGCAGGATTCCCGTCGCTGAATAACCTCCCTCCCTAAGCCGAATAATAGCCCTCCCTAAGCCGAATGAACCCGGTGTTTCCACTACAATCTGGTCTAACCCCGAGTAACCCTAAGAATTATCTCCTAAGCCGAATACCAGCCCTTTCAGGATACCAACGAATACCCATCGCAGAATTCACTCCTAAGCCCAATGAACCGGTGTAACCACCAGCAGAATACCTATGAATTATCTCCTAATAGAACCCTCAGCAGAATACCCTAAACCGAATACTCGTCGCAGAATTCACTCCTAAGCCCCGGGCCTATGAATTATCTCCTAATAGAACCCGGTGTGAGATGGGGAGGATCCTCTCATAGCAAGGACGGAGACGGAGTAAATAGGAAATAAAGCCGATGTGAGGAGTATACTTCTATGGGTGAAGCAATACCACATTCTCAATACCCCGGCAGACACCGATGTAGGGTTTCGTTCTTCTCTCCTAAGGTTTATTATGAGCCCGTA